TTGGTATGTTGGAAGTTCCGCAAGGTAATGTAATTGGACCAATTTTGATTTTATTATTTATTAACGATTTGGAAATTTTTGTAAATACCCTTAACATTAAGAATCTATGCAGATGATACGAAAATATGAGATAAATGAAAGTAGAAATTAATAAGAAAATTGATGAAAACAGTAAAAAATGGAGGAAAATAGGAAACAAGATAAAGGAGAAATAATAAAGAAGATATAGACGAAATGATAGAAACATATACTGAAGAAACAATGAAGATGAGAGAAGATGCAAATTAGAAGAGTGTAAACTAAATAAAAAAAAATTGATATATAAATAAAGAAGAAATAGTTGTAGAAGCAAAGGAAATTGAAATGAACACATAAATTGAAGAAGTAAATATAGAAATAAACGAGGCAAAAGTAGAAAATGAAGAAATTGTAAAAAAGACAGATTCAGATTGTAGAAAAAGAAGTAAATAAAAATAGTAAAAGAAAAATAAACATTGAAGATTTAAAGAACAAAATTAGAAAGAAAAAAGAGAAAGCAAATTCAAGATGAAAATAGGAAACAAAATAAAAGAAGAAAAGAAAACATAAAGGTATTATAACAAATAAAAGTAAAATAAAACAAACACAGGAGGATCAAATAAGTAATGAAATAATAAATAAAAATAAAAGTAATATTGAAATAAAATTAAAATAGATACAGAACGAATATAAAAGTAAAAATAAAACTGTAAATTAAAATAAAATAGCAATAAAATCAAAACAGTGGCAAAAGAAAAATTAGATTTGATAAGGGAGAACGGGGGGAAATGAATAAAAACTTGGGATGCCTGATAGGTTGAAAAAAAGGACAATAAAGGAAAATATAGTAGAAAACACTATTTATAGTTAGAAGATTTAGAAACAAAGATTATGTGCATAGGAAAAGTAACTTATAGAAGAAAAGTTTACATAAAAGTGAAGGATGAAGAATATGAATTTAAATTGTTTGAAATATAGGTGTGATTTGTGGGAGACCACGAATAATGATTGTAAAATAATTGATTCAATAGTGATGTTAATAGTTATAAATAGTTAGGCCGTATTATCAGAAGTTAAGAGAATATGGTCAAGTTATTAGAAGAAAATGGACAAGATCAACCATTTAAATGGGATAAATATGACTAATCGAGTGATAATTTGAATATTTTGGTTAAAAATTGGAAAATTGGAAATTTAAATTCCAGACCTCATCGAAATTGCTGTCAAAATTAAATTGCTAGGGTGGTAAAGTTTCTAGGAATCAAAATTAAAGTAAAAAAATTGGAATGTCGGGGTTGTTGATTTTTTGGAATTTAAAAAATAGAAATTGATTATCAGAGGGAAAGTTAAAAAAGGTCGGGGATGTAAAATAATATAGTTAAAAAATCTGCAGAATTGTTATATTGAAAAGAAATTAAAAATAAAAAAGAAATAGAAAAGAAAAAGATAAAAAGTTTTTAACATTGCAAAGATTAGTATCAATATTTTAATACTTTAAGAACCTTAAAATAGCCTAAAAATATGGTGTGGGTAGTTTTTAGAAAAAACTTACAAATCCGAGATGTGCTGGCTTCGATCGAAGCTAGCAAAGCACCTTGATTTTTGTAAAAATTATCCTTAAAATAGCCTAAAAATACGATATAGGTTTCAATTCAAAATTCTATAGGTGCTCTGCTGCCTTTTTTTGGCATATACAAAAGTTTATACCAACAATTTTTCAACTCTGAGCTGTTGAATATGAAATTTTCTTAGCGACCTGCGATTGACCCCACGCAATACTTACAGGCAAACCCGGTAAGACTTTCTTCCTAGCATTAATCAATCAACATCAAATGCTCAACGAAGCGAATGGCAAAGAAAACAAACCTTTCCGGGATATTTGTTATTTTAGTATAGGCCAAACACGTCTGCGGATACCCCGACATCGACGATATCGTGCCAGCCCCGGGATAGGGAACTGAACTGACTATTTTCCAGGGCTGGTTTACGGAATTTTAATTAGTACCTACTTGCTTGTCGGAAGAATAATTTCAGCCTTTGGTCGTACGCAATACAATGGTCGGCAAGAATCCCAATTTTCGCCGTTATGTTTGTGGTTATAAACGCAAGCGGAACCACGGTAGAATTTTGGTTTTTTTATACTAATTTTTAGGAATACGATTTCTATGATCCTTTTTTTTTTGTTAGAAAGGAGGTGCCTCAGGGGTGGTCCAATTTAAATTTGGTTAAGATCTAATAATGGGGTCTGAGGGGTTGTTTGGTGACAGAAACAATATTATTATTTTACTAATTTAATAATTGCATTTAATTTTATTTTACAAAGTAATGTAATTCCGCGGCACAAGTCAGTAAGGAACAGAGCCGACTAGAGGGGGGACAGCCGGGGCTAATTCCCGGGGCCCGGGCTCAAATAGGTGTCCGGCAGCGTTGATGTTTGTTACTTTCAGAAGTACGACAGAAGAGGGGGGAAGTTCTTAGCTGAAGACCTTTTTTTTGGAGAGATTCAAGTAGAGGAGAAATTTTTGCTTGAAGACCTTTTATTTAATTTTTTATAAAATTGTCGCTGGGCCCGATTTGCAGAATTATCCTGGGGTCCAGTCTGGCTCTCGGCGGCCTTGGAGGAACTGTCTATTAGTTTCTTCTCGGTCTACCAGCAGTGCCCTCAAAACTAGCCAGCCTTACCCGGGAAAAATCCCCGTTGAATTGCTATTTGATTGGTACCTACTTAAATATTAAAACTTTACAAACGCCTATCATTTCGGAGTAAACTGACTAGTTTGAATATAACTTACAGGATGTTTTCTTGACCGCCACAGGGTCCATGAGAAACTCATCAAACTCTTCATTTTTCAAAAGGAAAAACTTGTATTTCGTGCAAAACTTTTGAAAGTTTTGCACGAAATACAAGTTTTTCCTTTTGAATCTAAACTACGTGCACACAGCTGTCAACCTTTTTTTTTCTTTTTTGGTTATTTTAATCTTCATTTTTTAAGTATGTTCAGTTCAACGATAATTTTTTACCGCGTTGTCCGATTTCTATGATTATTTTGTTGTTAGAAAGGTACCCTCAGAAGAAGTGATCCCATATTGATTTGGTCAAGATCTGATGATGAGATCTATACAAAAATCAGCAAACTCAATTTGTAATGGAATCTGGACGATTTTGGATTCGGTTTTTTAAAATTACTTTTATAACTTATTGATACCTAAACAAACTAAAAAACTTAATTTAATACCAAGTTTTTAAAATTTATATCTCGATAAAACGAACAATATAAATTTAAAATTATTACCTCGATTATAATTATTGATTTCTTTTATATAATTGACAACAAAATCTATATTTTTATTTTTTACAAATCCCTTTTGCTGATAGGTAGTTATTTGTTTAGATATTGTGCTACTTCAAAAAACATTATTATCTTGCTAATATGGGAAATGTCAGTCACTTTTTGATAGATAAAAATATTATAATATCTAAAAGATTATTAAAAATCCCATGAATTTATTTACTACCTATATACGTAGATATCTGAGTACAGTTGAGGTACAAAAATAATAAATAATTTCGTTTTCTGCATAATTAAAGAAAATAGTAAAACATGTTAATTTGTAATTCTGAAATATTACTTTTTTAAAGAATTCTATGATCCCTCTTCAATCTCTTTAGAGAAAAAAACAAACGAAACAAGGTAAAAATTGAATTAGAGGGTTTTACATTCTTTATTTAATAGTATTTTATTAATTTTAGATGCCCTCTCATTTCATTTAAATGGACATATGTCACCCTAAAGAGGCTGGTTGAAGAAGGGAGGTATTTTCTGTGATCGAAAGTTTTGACAATTAAAAACCCTCCAAAACTCGGGTGCTGTCCCCCTCCAACTCCTAAATAACGAATCCCATATCATCACCTAAAATTGATTATGCCCTTTTACCTTTTGAACACAGTTTTAGAGTTTAAGATTTAAGTGTTTCAGAATTATCATTAGAAATCATTAATTACACAGAAAATAATTGCATCTGTTACTTATAGACCTCATTTTATGTTTATATAATTGGTTTAAAAAGTACTAGAAGCAATATTTGGTGGAAAAAAGTATATTTGGTGGGACATTGTTTGTCATATGTATTTAAGGCAAAAAATTATTAGAACTGGTGTAAGCACGTGAAGATTTCCATACAAAATTATGATTTTCATTCCATTAAATTTAGAAACAACATTTGAGATGGTAAATATATAGATTGCATTTTTCTAAATGTTATATTGTCCTAATACCTACCTAATATTTGTCTATAAAACATGTAGTACCTAAATAAATAATAAATAGGTAAGTGATACCTAGGTACAGTTTAGAATCGATATTTAGGTAAGTATCTTGAAGAATACCTACATACCTACTCATTGAATATTCAAAATAATTTGAGATTTATCCTTTATTATTGTTATAATTACTTATCTATAAAGATGTACCTAGTCAGGTAATATTAGTTTATCAAATTTGTATCTTTATGTTCTATAAATAGGTGTTTTTTTTAATAAAAAATTAACATAACTATTTTGATAAATTAACTACGACTTACTTTTGTCACATTTTTGTTTTAAAGGGGAGTTCAATAGAGTGAATAGATTATTATTGCTGCATAACGTTTCATTAATTTTTATTTAGTTATTTATTTATTACTCCATCAACATAAACATTATATGAAATCATTCTCTAGAAAATAAACGTGATATAAGAGGTACAAATCAAATTAAAATATTTTGTAATTGAACATTCCGTAATTACCTATATGTACTTATATTTTGAATGACATTATATTTTGGAAGTATTATCTTTAAAACAATTTATATCTCTGTCGTGTATTGCATATAAATGAATATTTCACTACTTAAAAACGCACAATAAAAAAAATTTATAACATAAACAAAACACCTGAAATCCTAAACAAATAGTAAATTTATTGAAAAAACAAAAACATACCGATTTGAGGAACCTGAGGAATTTTTATTGGCTGTACTTTCAATTTCTCCACGATCTCCTTTCTCGCCGAATCACAACTCCTTGTCTCTTGAGAAGTAACAACCCCACATACCACGAAAAACAACAAAATACCCTGCAATAAGTGCATTTTTCCGAACGAAAACTGTCCAGTCCTACGTATCACAGCCATAACGAACGACTTTAATTCAAGATTACGGCCCTAATCATTATTTTTTCAGTTTAAATCCATTTCTAAGGCACTCGAACACCGCTGTATGTTGTTTTCGCACCGGCAATTGACAGTTGACTGAACCTCTCCTCTCTTTCGGAACTCAGGACAAAACCCCAGCGACTGACTGAAACTACTGAAAGAAGAAGAAAACATGCGCGTCGCGCGAAGGAGTTTTATTTTTTATGCACCTTTAAATTTTTAAGTGCAATGGAAAGGACGACGCATGCGTCGCGACAGCGTGCACTTTTTTGAAATATAGAGAAAGTAAAAGTTGAAAAGTCTTTTGGTAGGTAGAGAGGGGGTAAACGTCAAACCACGTCGGGCGGCTCCGAGAATTTCGCAGTATAATGTTTACCTGCCAGTGTCGTTTCATAGAATAAGTAATTTTAAATTGTTATCGGCGGAACCGGACAATCGCATGTATTTATGGATTATAAATAATTATTAAACATGTATTATAATATTCAAATCATAATTTTACAAAATTTCAACAGCTATTCACAATTTATTAAACTATTTACTCGAAATTGTTATTAACATCTATAAAATAATTTTGTACGCCAATGTATCGCGTCCACTTCGGTGATATCCGCTGCCAACCTGTCAATTTATGTGTATAAAGTGGGAGAACTGGCAAAAGCATTTCCAACTTTTACTTCTGTTCTACCGCTAATGCAATGGTGGGAATAATAAGTGGGGGTGATTCCATGGTGATTTCTAAATGTTATTGATGTAGCAGGGTTGCCAAGTTGTTGAAATTGTCTGCAGCTTTAAGGATTATTTCATTTTTCTTTCTTCGTAGCTATGTAGCCATATTATTCGATCTGCTTTTTTCAAAAACACTTTTATTTATTCTACTCCATGATTCCATTTCATTGTTGTTGAAAATTTTTATTTTAGTTTGTATAGAAATCTATTTGGTGATTTATGGTAGGATTCTGAGAAATGTACTATACAATACAGATTTTGGCTTACAGACAGTGGTGGCCCGTGACCAATATTTTGAGGGTTCACAATGACAGAATATAGATCTCAGTACAGAACTTTAAGTGTTTTAGAAAGGTTTTCATATACCTTACTAAAACACTGAACGTTTTTTTTTTCTACATATGTTCTGAGATCTATATTCTGTCATTGTGAAACCCCAAAAGATTGGTAACGAGCCGCCACTGTTTACAGATCTTATAGATTGTCTTAGAATCGACCCATTAGTCTTCAAGCTTGATTTAGTATATAGTACTTTATTAATTTTAATGTAGCATATTATATGTTCCCACTAAACATGAAAAATTCCCAATCTTTTTTGTAACGTTTCTCATAAAGACTTTTCTTGATATATTTTTAAAACAATGCTAAAATACCCCATAGATGTTTAAATTTTAACATTATATTCATTAACATTCTTCGTATATGTCTACAAATGAAGTTTTATGTACGCTGCAATACTTAAATTAGCAGTTACATAAACATCTTTTGTACTTCTTTTTAGTTACTTCCTATGACAAACATTTATACGATGTTAATTTGTATAACTCACAATAATATCGCATACAGGTCAGCACAGTAATGTGTACAAGTTACACATCTTTAAGATGGCTATCTTTAAGTCATTACATTGCAGACCTGGCAGACCTAACAGTTCGTCCCACGTTCATAGAAGGAGATACTAATGATCGCTTGCTATTTACGTAACTGGTAGTACTGTATTATGGAGGAGTCTGATGCTCAGTGTTAAGTATTTCATAAAACAAATTAAAAAAAATTAAGCCCTAGGACTCCGCGGAACACACTTTGAGAACCGCTGCTCTAAATACAGGGTGTTTCAGAACTATGGGATCAAACTTTTAGAGGTTATTCAGTGCAACAGTAGAATGGAAAACTTTACCAATCAAGAATTGGCGGCTATGCATTTGGCATACGGAGCAACAAGCTGCAATGCACGAGCAGCAGCGCGGTTGTATTAATTAAGAACGTTATCCCGAACGACAGCATGCGGGATACAAAAAGTTTATTGCTATTCATCGGCAGCTCTCCGAGACAGGCATGTTTAAAACCAACATGCATGTTACTGGTGTTGCTAAAACCGTAAGAACGGTCGAATTTGAAGAAGAGGTCCTTCAGCGAGTTGCCGAGGAACCATTAAGTAGCACACGTCACATTGCTAAGGATATGAATACGAGTAACGCTTCCGTCTGACGGGTGCTACACGAGCAACAACTTTATCCTTACCACTTCCAGAAAGTTCAATGATTGACTGCAGCCGATTATCATCCTAGAGTTCAATTTTGTCAATGGCTTCTTCATCAAATCGCTGCACAACCAAATTTTTTACGCTATGTTTTATGGACCGATGAAGCCTCTTTCACAAGAGACGGTATTTTTAATAGTAGGAATAGCCATGTTTGGGACGAAGAAAATTCCCATGCAATTTTTCCTGGAAAACATCAGCAACGTATGGGCAGGCATTGTTGATGATTATTTGATTGGGCCATACCTTCTACCGGAACGGTTAACAGGATCTATTTACTGGCGTTTCTTGGAGGAAGTTCTTCCAAAACTACTTGAAGATGTTCCAATAAACGTTCGACAGCAAATGTACTATGCTGTACAAGTACGTGAGGATTTGGCTAAGCGGTTTGGGCCCCGTTGGATTGCCAAAGGCGGAGCAGTTTCTTGGCCTTCTAGGTCACCCGATTTAACGTCGCTAGATTTTTTCCTGTGAGGACATGTAAAATCTTTGGTCTACGAAACTCTAGTAGAAACAGAGCAAGACTTAATTGGACGAATTACAGCAGCATTTGAAATCATTCAAAACCAGCATCAAATTTTTAGTCAAGTCCGCCGAAATCATGTGCGACGTTTAAATCGGTGTATTCAGGTTGGAGGAAGACATTTTGAACAATTGTTGTGATGATATCATGTATAAAATGCAAAAATTAAATGCATTAAATCCTATTTAGGCAATTCATTGTCTTTCTAAATTTTAATGCGTCTTAGGGCCGTAGTGTCACTTTTCCGGACATGGGTACTTATACTCAAATGTTTTCTACTGTTACACTGAATAATCCCTAGAAGTTTGATCCCATAGTTCCGAAACACCCTGTATATGCTCGAATGGTTGCACATAACATAAAAAAAGAAATAGGTCTGGCAACATTGCTTAATCTTAACACGTGATTTTTGACAGATAATCTCTTGACATGTGACATGTCCGAAATGACCTGTGCAAGGTTATGTTATTTTAACTTTTTAATTTTATTTTAAAAATCAGTATATTTTTTTAAGTAAAAGCAGTCAATAAATATTTAGTAAAAATGACTACTGCCTGTAGGAATTTGAAGAAGGTAACACATGTACTTTTCGATATGGATGGTGTCCTTCTTGGTAAGTACAAAGCCAATTAAATGTTCATCTTTGTTTTAAAATTAATTAGGAACATAAAATAATGTTATTTGAATGAAAGAATGAGTATGTATGCCTAATTTTTTAGTAATTTAATAATTATTTTTATTTACATTAAGGGATGTTATGTAACCTCACTTTTTTATGAATCAATGTAAATTTACGTAATAAAAAATACAAAATAAGGGCATTATAATTATTATGGAATTTTACTTTACGTTCCTCTAACATTAACCTAAAACATTCAGGATTTGCACGAAAATAGATCTTTTATGGCAATCCAATAGTGATGTGAGGTTGGAGTATTTTAGAATGTTAGCTTTGGTAGTATCAGTTGTAGTTTGGAGTGTCATGTAGTTAGTATTAACAAGAGGGACGTAAAGTAAACAATGACTGTGAATTGTGTTATACCAAACCCTCGTTTTTAGATACAGAAACCCTATACACACAGGCAACACAAAACATTTTAGACAACTATGGCAAAAAGTTTTCGTGGGAGGTAAAAATGCAATTGATGGGTCTGCATGGGCATGAAATGGCTAAAAAACTAGTTGAAATCTATGAATTGCCACTATCACCCTCAGAATACTATTCACTAGCTTTGAAACAATATAGTGCTCTTATGCCCAGTTGTGAGCTCATGCCAGGTAATTATTCCATTTTTTTATCTTTACAGATTCTGAAGTTTTATATAAAAGAGCTATTTCCAAGATAGCAAGTAGATTTGGAAAGGTATATACAGCAGAAATACGCAGTAAACTGCTAGGCTCACCTGAGAGGGAGTGCAGCAAAATAGCTGTAGAAGAAATGAAGCTACCTATGTCGGTGGATAAGTTTCAACTTGAGTTTAGACGTTTAGCTCATAGTTACATGGCCAGTGTATCTCTGATGCCAGGTAATTTTGATAAAGAAAATAATTATCTTACCTTAGGTGACATATTAATCATAGAGTAGCTTTAGTACTATGCAAACCAGTATATACACACTTTTACTATGTTTTGACCCTTGTGTTATTATTTTCTACCTCTAACAATAATAGCACTATATATTTTTTAAATGGTCATTATATGGCTTCAAATTCAATCAAAGTAGGTACAGTGACAGACTGAGAAGTTGTCTCTTACAAGGATGAACGGTAATGTTTTGGTATGGACATTCTCATTCCTCAAACCATGACAAGGGCCAAATAAATATTCCAAAAAACACCCAGCAGTTTATATATCCACAGCTGAATAAAATTGGGGATTTCTATGGTGTGTTTCATAGGAAATTCTGGCAGGATATGTCTTTTTGTGCTCAATTAAAGTTGAAACAATTTTGTTTATTGTGTTCCTAATCTTAAAAAACAAACCTCATCTGCTTAAATGTAATAAATGCTTAAATTGGATGTACATTGCAATAAACATATTTATTTGAATTAGGTATATGGAAAAACATGGTGTCCAAGGATTTTGATGAGGTGTGTATATTAGATGGTTACCTCTTACTAAAAACATTGCTTTGCAACTTTTTGGTTATTATTTATTTATAATTAGAGATTTAACATAAATTAAAATATTTATGGTGCTGTAGCACAAACGAAGATGATGTACATGTCATACAGACTAAGAACATTTAAAATAATAAAAATAAGTTGAAAATACAAAGTAAAAACATTAAGTGATCGACAAAGACAGATCATATCTGTGACAACTACAAAATTTTCCTACATTTTAGGGAACCACTCTATGTTTGTATTTAAAAATTTGTCATATCCTTCAAGATGTAACAGACATATTTCAGTGTGTAGGTTTTAAGAATCAAATTTTTCCCAAGATATACATAATTATCTTTTGATTAAACATGACCTTTGGAACTTGAACCCTGCCAGAGTTACTCTAAGCAACAAAATGAAAGTTAATTGGATGACAAAATTGATAAACTTTTAATTAAATTAGTTTTAGGATTGTTTTAATTTAGCTTACTGCTAGCCTGACTTTTTAATTTGTTTTATTTAACAGTAGGCAACTGATTAAGCATACTAATTAATCATAGTTGTGTCTACCAAAGGATTTCTGGTTCGAGTCATATAAGTTAAAGACAATACACTACACATTTTTAAAAACTAAACTGTCCGAATTTGCTTATACTTATAATTTCAGAAACAAATTTAAATCCTCTGCTTTTATATTTACCAGAATTTTTTTAATTTGTTTAAGTAATGGGAAAAAACTATTATTTTTAGGTGCTCGTCATTTAGTGACACATCTAAAGACACATAAAATTCCAATTGCTGTAGCAACATCATCATCCAGAGAAAGTTATGATTTAAAAACTAAAGACCACAAAGAGTTTTTCTGTATGTTTGACCATATTGTAACAGGTGCTAGCGATCCAGAGGTAAAACAGGGCAAACCATCTCCAGACATATTTTTAGTATGTGCATCTAGGTAATTTTACAATTTCTTAACATGATTATTATAAAAAATATTGCCATTTATATTATTTTTGCTAACAAACGTTTTTATAAAAATATAATTGTCCAGTTTTTTTAACAATTTCAAATTTATGCTTGTAATTATATTTTCTTGTATTTTTTTTTAGGTTTCCTGACAGTCCTTGCTCAGAAAAATGTTTAGTTTTCGAAGATGCTCCCAATGGAGTTTTAGCTGCTGTAAGAGCAGGTATGCAAGTAATAATGGTACCAGACGAAAATATACCACCTGAACACACAAAAGAAGCCCACGTAGTTATTAAAAATTTAGAGGAAGCACCTATAGAGTACTTTGGACTACCCCCCCTTAAAAAATTATAAACAAATATATTTTAAAGCAATTATGAACTTTCATTTACAGTTCAAGTTAAAAAAACAACAAACAATTCTATTCATTTAATATAAATAACTACAAATATATTTTTTATTATATAAAGTTTATGGACCTTTAGCTAATTTTCCAATAATAGATTTTACATCATTAGCTGATAAATCCTTTAAAGTAGCAGCTTTTTCTTTTCCTTTTTCTGAAACAAAATGAAAATATTGAAATTTTGACATTTCAAAAGTTAGCAGGGTTGCCTAAACATTTTATTAAAAGTGAGCAAATGGATATCAAATTAACCCTATCTATTAGACATAATTGCCTAATCTTTAGGTATAGATGGTGACACCGAAAATGAACAATCTTGAGGAATAAACAACTTTGTCATGCACAGAAATTATTTTAATATATTAAAAGTAGTCTTTTTGAAATTATTAAATGTAAGTAAATGGAGAACAAAGTACTTTAACTGTATCTACTAGATAACTGTCTAATATTAAGTATAGATGGTGAAAACGAAATGATTTTAAAATAATAGAAAAACAGTTAACCATAAAAGTCTTCTTACCGTATCGTGCCCACACTTTGGGTTCAACTCCAGAACATTCTCTTATAAGAATTGGAAACTTGGGATTGCTAGATTTTAACTCTACATAGCAGCTTTCTATGAATTCCCTACAAAGTTATAACATTTCTACATTTATTACATAACCTAATTTTATATAATTTACCTGACCCCTTTACTTCCAGCGCCTGTCTGGCATAGATGAATTCTCAATTCTTTTAAAGCACCTCCTAGTCGTAGAGCCATATTTATATATATTTTTTTCTAAAATTAAATTGAGAAATGAAATAAATTATGAACGTCAAAATCACAGAACACTTGCTGTCAAAATATTCTTCTTGACTATGTCTTCTTTTCTTTGCATAGCTTAGGCCTGACATTTACAGGTAATTAGCTACCCTTCATACTTTTTTTTTTTAATAAAACAATTTCTATACTGTAAAATGTGTTTATTAAAATATTTGTCAACAAATACAAACAAAATCACTACTTTTCTATAAAATTGATTTATATTTAGCAGGAATATTCCAACACTCATGCGATTTGTCAAAAATAGCTTTCGGTACTGCACACTCGGATTGAAGAGCCAAAATTGCAGCTGCGAAGCCTACTGAAACGCAAATTTCTTCAGATTTATTTGAAGTTAAGGCTGTTATGAAACCACTTGCGAAACAATCTCCAGCTCCACTAACGTTGACTAAATTTGTTACTTCACAAGTCGGATAATGTCTAATATGAACTTCGTTGTTGCTGTTTTTATGTAAAAACGTATCAGTAGCTAAAGCTTTTCTTGCAATTAAGATCCCTTTCGAACCTAATGTTACTATTACGTTATCTATGTATTTGATCAATTCTTTTAAAAGTTCAGCTACGTCTTCAAGTTTGGAAGAGTTGTTATAATTGATGTTTAAAAATGTTGCTATCTCATTGAGCTCATTTAGATTGGGTGTTATAAATTTAATAGACCTGCGAAATTCTGAATTAAATGGTTTTGTTGCTACTGCAGCGTCCGTTGGTTCGTATAAAACTGAAAAAGAAAAAAAATGGTTAATTGACTTAATACGTAAAGGGCACAGCTATAAAACTTACGAGACTAGTAAATAAAAAAGAAGAGTAGCAAATTCACAAAATAAACAAACGTTTCTCTAAAAGAAGAAGAAACTGAAGATAGAAAGTGGAAAAATGGCGATGAAATCAAAAACTGGTATTGCTGCTGTTGCTTTAACAACATTTGCATCAATATTTGTTGTTATATCTTTTTGCACACCTTACTGGTTAGTTAATGATGGTCAAATAGAGGATCCGAAGTTTATAAGGATTGGTAAGTTTTTAACTAATTTTCCAGTGAAGGAGTGGCCAATGTTTTGGACACTAATGACTAATACTAATAATAGAATATAATTAACACCTGCTGTATTTTTGTTTACTCTTTTTAAATATAAAGAAAATCATTATCACATAATATTTGAATATATGTCTGTAAATCAGATACACAGGAACATTTTTAGGAATCATAGTAATCTGTAAATCTAGATATTTTTAAAATTTGTATTTAACATCCACATACAACAATACATTTCAAAAGTTAATTATTAAAGAATCATTATTAATTAAATGCCTGTTTATTCATGGAGTCCACAATATTAATGTAGGAGTACATCAAGGATCTGTCTTGGTCCTGAAGTTAACCCATCTACATATCAATGATATTTCTGATACAATACAATATCTTTATTTACCTGAGAATTTATTACATTTTATGGCTCGTCAAATTACAATTAAAACTAAATATATATAATAAAATTTACCTAAATATAATAATATAAAATTGAAATTTACATTTGCAACATAGTTCACTGAATCACTCAGAGGCCACAGTGACATGCTCCATCTGTATTGATTTAAATTCCTCTAAGTTATATAGGCAATTATTGGATAACATTTGTTTTAATGCATGTTTAAATTTATCTATAGGCTGATTTCTAAAATTAAGTGGTAGTATATTGTATAGTTCAATATAATATTTCTTTGTCCTTTCCAGTCTATACTGGATAGGGACTAAGTTATCTTTGTGCCTTGTATTATAGTTATGGATATCTGAGTGGGAAAAAATGTGTTAATATTATTTCTTAGGAATTGAAGGTTTTGATAGATTATTACTGCATAAAGTGTCATAATTTTAAGTTCTGGGAATACTGGTCTACAACTGGCTTGCCAAGAAGCATGTGTTATTGCTCTTATGGCTGATTTTTGCAAAATAAAGACTCTTGAGATATGTGTGTCAACTCTTGAGATATGTGTGTCAGCAGCATTGCCCCAACATATTGTCCCATATGTCAAATGACTAGGAAATAGAGCATAGTAAGCAGTAATTGCTGCATCTTGACCACATATTTGGCACATTTTCCTGATAACAAAAACTGCTTGTGATAATTTGGAACAAAGTGCTTCAATATGATCTGTCTATCTGAGATGTGGATCAATTTGAATGCCAAGTGTTTTAACAGAATTGTTATTAACTTGTTCACTATTTACTGTAAATAATTGGGAGATAGTTTTTGTGTCATTTAAAAACAGGTCATTTACAGAAAACCACCTCTTTGCCTGAATCATGACATCAGAGTAAACTTGATCATGATCTGTTCCTCTTTAAGTATTAATACAAAAAGAAGTATCATCAGTAAATATACATGTGACAAGGTTTTCAAAATGCATATGGTCTGGAAGATCATTAATGTATATCAAAAAAAGTAATGGACCTAAAATTGAGCCCTGAAGGACACCTCTCCTGATATGTATCAATAAACTTTTGCAATTTTTGATGATGACTGTTTGATATCTGTCAGTTAAATAAGATTCAAAAAGCTGTACTCCATACCTCTCCAGTTTTGATAATAGAATTGAATGATCCACACAGTCAAAAGCAGAGCTTAGATCTGTAAATACACCTGAACAGTTTTCAGTTTTTTTTTTTCAAAACAATTTTCTATATATTGTACTAGAGATAATACTGCATCTATTGTAGATCGCCCCCTTCTAAAACCATATTGGAATGGCGTGAGTATGTTGGAAGAATTTAAATATGATATTAGATTATTATACATAATTTTTTCCAAGATTTTGGAGAATATGGGAAGTACAGCAATTTGTCTGAAGTTGCAAGGCTGAGAAGGGTCTCCTTTTTTAAATAGGGGACAGACCTTAGCAATTTTCATGCTATCAGGAAATATTCCTTCAGTTAGACAAGTATTTATAATTATAGTTAAAGGTTTAGACAAAAAAGAAATACATTTTTTCATTATAAATACATTAAATCCATCAATATCCTCTGTTCTTTTATTTTTTAAATCTTTTACAATTGATTCTATTGAATTTTTTAATTGTGGTATATTTATAAAGAAAGTAGCAGATATATCTGGTTTCTCTAGATTCTGAATTATGTTTTCCACATTATTAATAAAAAAATTATTAAGATCTTCAGGAGTTAAATTTTCTGGCTTTGTATTTGTTTTATTTCGACCAATTTCTTTGTTAATAATATTCCACAAAGTCTTTGCCTTATTATCAGAATTTAATATATAATTATTGCAAAAATCATGATGCATTATAGTTTTTAGAGGTAAATTAGGAAACGAACATTGTTGCCAATGACTGAATATGAAAAGATCATTTAGTTTAAGCTGTTTTTGTTTATAAAAAAGGTATCACTATTGTGAACAAAAAAATTTAGTTTCCTATCTTGTGTAAACTGATAATACTGACACAATAAATTTTTTTAAATAAAAATATTTCACAAATTGTCTCAGAGATGCTACTTTTATGTCATACACTGTTGCAAGTCACACAAAAAGTTTATTATTCAATTATTTAGTATCAAAAGTTAGTTTGTATTTCTAATAATTAATAATTATTGACTTTGTTTTCCCACCCATTGCCCTTATTCACTGTCTTTTCTGTAAAATTGATAACATGGAAAACATTGTATATTTTTATTTAAGAAAAATTATTTGTGTCATTAAGATATGAAACTTAAGTTTTTTTGTTTACAATAGCAATACCTATACGTACCTATGCTTAGTTTTTTGTTAATCAAAAAGAGTTACTTTACTGACAAAAAGATCCATCTTTCCATTAAAATGTTACTCATCAATTATGTATCCATATTCTAAATTATTTTGAAATGAGTATCATTCAAAGTTCTATGAGATTGTCTCCCAAAAAGAGCTGTATTCTATATTCTGATTAAATTCATCATCACAGATTAATTCATGCATATTATTTGTAAATCCATGTCAGTCCTTAAGGTACATGCCCAATGGAAGTGGCATGATTTACAAATAATACCTAGAATAACATGTTATTCAGCTTATATCTTAACTCATAAATTGCTGAATATTAAATATATTTCCTAATAGTCCAAATTATCCTTATTTTAACTAAGGGTGGGTCTTTTCACCTTCAGATAAAGTTCCAGATAAATAACTGACGGATATATTATCTGAGAGTTACTATCTGTCAGATAATTAATTTCAGGTTTTTTCAAGTAAATAATATGTATGGTAGGTATCCAGTAGTTTTTAACCTTATGTGGTTATGTAGCTACCTATTTATTCATCAGTGAAGTATTTTATCAGGAATTTCATAAGTAAAATAAGGTATCAGGTTTATCCAGAAGTGAAAAGATTACTTTTTAAGCTACTTGGGAGATATAAATTACCTGACACTTCATCTGAAAGTGAAAAAAATTATCTTCCAATTGGCACTTCTGGAAAGAAAAGAAAGTGACAGATCATTTGTCTCCATGCTGCCTTCTTCCTACAGTCTCTACTGGACCCAATTTGGGACAGGATTGTTGCTTTCAATCTTAATTATTTATATTTATGTTTAATAGGTAAGGGTGGTCATGATCCCTTCCTATTTTCTCATTATATTTCTTCAATATTTTATTTTTTTTTTGGGAGGGTAGGGGGAGATGGAAGCCACTTATTCAATTAATGTTAATATATTGATAGTAATCAAGAAAATGTGTAGGTAACAAATTATTGGTACCAAACTCATTGTCTTTTCCAATACCATTACATGGTTTTTAACAGAAACCCATTATTTTTTTTTTAATTATTTTCAGGACTTTGGGAAGTCTGCTTCAGAAATTTCGAAGACTTTAGACACCACTACGACTACCGTTTCACAGGCTGCTGGTGGGTGTTTGAAGAAGAATACTACATCATATTCGATTTTCTTCTACCAGGTTTCTTTATTGCCACCCAATTTTTCTTCACCCTCTGCCAAACTTTAGTACTAGTTGGTGCCTTCCTCACATGGATGTATTGCTTCTGCAGCCGAGACCACGACAAATATCTCCTTCTTTTGTTGAGTAATGGGTCAATTTTGGCGTTAGCTGGATTCTGTGGATTCATTTCTGTCTGCATATTCGGCGCAAATGGGGATAACCGTGACTGGATGCCTCATTGGCAACACAACGACCTGAGCTGGTCGTACGCTTTCGGCGTTATTGGTTCGCTTTTGTTAATGCCCGCAGGTGCCTTATTTTTGGTCGAAGCTAAGAGAACGAGGTACAGGAGATTTGGAGGTAGCACGCACGGACAACCACCTGCTCAGTATACCATGGAGGAACCACGAAAACCGTCCGCGCCCCACCACACCGACATATAGATACATTTTGTAATGAATGACGACTTTATAGGTTTAAGATAGATTTTATTTTTATGCGAAATATGTACATTTACGTCCAAAACTGCCGTTTAGTGGATGATGGTTCTTTTGCAATGGAGGTATGTAGAATATTCTGTCAGAATATTTTTAAGAGTGTTCATATGTTGTGTTTTTTGTATAATCCCTAAAAATGGAAAGGGCAATAAGTATGAGATGTAAGTGAAGAATCGTTCTGATTTTTTTCTCTCTTTCTCTCATGTGTATTAAGTTGGAAATCTGTGAAAGTAGCAACTTAGGTTATTGCGGTTATAAATAGAGGGATAGGACGAAAGATATGTACGCATTTAAAACATCGAATTATTTAAAATTTTGTAAGAAGGATTTAGTCAATTTTTAAAATAATAGGACCAGTCTTTTCATCTTTGAGTAATGATGATTGTAATTATTTGCTCATTAGGCTATAGTTTCCTAATCTGGTACATGTAATTTTACTCAAGAGGTGAAAAGATTAGCCCTTAATCTATTTTTCGTCCACTAGCTGGAAAACAGATGTAGCAATGATGCATCCAAATTTAGTGATTGGAAGTTTCATCTTTGCTTCATACTAAGCAAATATAGCAGCCCAGTGTACTACCCTAGAGAGAGTGACATACCTGCTTATTGCTACTTTTGTTTACATCTTTATAAGACTACTTGCAATTACAATCAAAAAATGCTTTAGGACAATATAATCACCTCATATTCTTGAGATTTTTTATATTTGTGTAATTGACAAATGTCTATTAAAACTTTTCACTCATTAAATATTATGCACAAATACTTATTAAAGTCTATATAACATAATATTATCCTTAAAAAATGCTCTTTTAGGCAGTTTTTTTCCATAGTTTTTGAATAAGTGGAATACAAATAGAAGCATTCTTAAGTGTAACGAAACATCTGCTTACAATTATCTACTTTGTTTATTTAAAAACGTTTTATTAACTTGAAAATATTTGCAAATATGTTAATTTGACCTATCCTAGACATGACTGTTCATGAATCATTTCATTATTAGATTTATTAATTGCATTACAACGTCCTAGTGTTTAGGCTTCTCTAAAGCAAGTTTCACACCGTGCACTTCTATTTTCTCTTTAAAAGGTAGATTTTTTTTAAGTATAGACAAAATTATTTTCTTAGGATAATCAAAGTAAGGGCCAGTCTTTTCACTTCTGAGTAAGGTTGAAACTGATTAAATTAAAGAGCAATTCTTTGTCAATCTGTCAAGTAAATCTACATGTAACTTTACTAAGAGGTGAAAAGATCGGCCCTTAACCTATTTAATTTCTCGTTAATTAAAACAGGATTGGACTGGGATACTAGTAACTGACATTTTTATTTTTAAACAACGAATAAGTGGAAATTGTATAAGGAAAAGATGAAAATATTATTGACATGACATACATTAAGAGTAGAGACTCTTAAATAATTGCTTAGCTTAAGTTATTGTACAGTGTAATGTTTTTTTATGTCATTATATACTTTGTTTTTATAAAAATATTCTTTTTGATAAAGCACTTATATAAAAGATATAATTAGCCTCGAAAAGAGAATTAACATTTAAAAAAAATATGTAGGTCGTTTTAATTATTTATGGTTTTGCATTTATATAATTTGAATCTTAATATATGAATCTCTTTTTTGATATTTATTTTTTTATATATATTATTATATGCAGCTAATTTATAACGTGTGGTTTAATTATAAGTTTTTTTCGTTATTTAAAAGTATTTTGGGATAATAAACGTTGTAGTTTCACCAATAGAGTTTATAGGTATTTAATTTTACACAATAACAATCTTGTTATAAAAAATAATTTTTATAGACTACAAACCAGATAGAGGAAACTTAAGGGTTGATTTTACCTACAATTTAAATTTTACTATCTGAAAGCATAGCTTTAGGTCCTATATGCCGTACATTTTCCATCCAGGACCGGATTTTTTTTATGAAATAAAAATTTAAAGCATTTCTTACGTAAAAATAATGTCTTCAGAGAGTATAACTTAAAGTTACCATAAAAATTAAGTTAAATTTAGCAATAGACTGACCCAATATTTTGCTACTCCGCACATATTGGCTCATATAAAATGGTAAAAAATTCAATGTATAAAACTTGTGGAAAAATTCATTTTTATTAAATAAATACAACTGGTTGGAAGTGAAATATATATTATATTTTTTTTATGAACATGTTCATCTCCTCGACATGATTTTCAAGAGATATAACACTTTATAACAATATATACAGTTGCAGACTAAAATTATTGTTAATAAAGGGTGTCCCATCAAGAGCGCCGGATTTAAATTTGCCGCCATTTTGTTAATACGAGTTGCACTGTCAATTTTTTTTGACAGATGTCACCTACAGACCGCGCGATTTAAGAATATGGAGAAGTATTCAAATGAACAACGTTTAATTATTGTAAAAACACATTACAAAAATGGTGAAAGTTTTGCGAAAACAGTTCGCCATTTACGTCAAATTTTCGGTCGTCATGATGCGCCAAATGAATCGACAGTGAGGCGTTTAATTACAAAATTTGAGACCAAATTTACGCTGATGGATCAGAAGACCATTGTACGTCGTCGTCCTTGTCGGTCACTCGAAAATATAGCCGCAGTAAGGGAATCTGTGACCGAGAATCCGGGAACTTCCATTCGGCATCGTGGTCAAGAATTAAACATTTCCAGAGGCACTATGCAACGAATTTTGGTAAAAGATCTGCACTTGCATGCGTACAAGGTTCAATTGGTGCAAGAAATCAAGCCAAGAGACCATGCGCAACGCCGTGGATTTGCTGATTGGGTGTTGGAGCATCATCAAATTAATGCGGATTTTTCGAAGAAAATAATGTTTTCAGATGAGGCACATTTTCAACTCGACGGATATGTAAATAAACAAAACTGTCGGATTTGGGGTGCTGAAAATCCTCGTGTGATACTTGAACAACCAATGCATCCACCACGAGTAACTGTTTGGTGCGCATTTTGGGCTGGCGGAGTGATTGGGCCGTATTTCTTTGAGAATGCGGCTGGAAATGCGCTAACTGTTAATGGTGAGCGATATCGCGAGATGTTAACGGATTTTTTGTGGACCGAATTGGATGAAATTAATGTGGAGGACATGTTTTTTCAACAAGACGGTGCGACCTGCCACACAGCTCGTGAAACAATGGTGTTACTGCAGACTAAGTTTCCAGGCCGTGTCATTTCTCGTTTTGGCAATCACCATTGGCCACCAAGATCATGCGATCTAACGCCGATGGACTTTTTTCTCTGGGGCTATGTGAAGCAAAAGGTGTATGCAAATAAGCCTGAAACAGTGGAACATCTTAAAGAGGAAATACGGCACGTTATTGGTGAAATACAGCCTCATTTATGCGAAAACGTGATTCAAAATTTCACCAAAAGAATAACTCTGTGCCAGAGGTTTCGTGGTGGCCATTTGCCTGATGTTGTATTTCACGTTTAATCGTAACCATTTTTCTTTATGTTAAAATAAAAATGTTGACTTAATTCAAAACATAAATGTGTTTTTCCTTCAAATTAAATCCGGCGCTCTTGTTGGGACACCCTTTAGTAGAAAACAAGAATAGTTTTTGATTATTTTTATACTCTCTAGTACCAATATTTTTGTACGGCAGGTTTTTTCTATAAGTATTTCAAAAATTACTTAACAAATGCCATCAATTTTTATTAGCTAAAAAAAACCGGTCCTGTTTAGTTAAATTTATGGAAAATTGACGGCACAGTGCATAAAGTTATGCTTTTAAAAAATAATACTTTGATTGTGGGTACAAACCCACCCCCTAAGCTTTCCATATCTATCGTGTAGTCTCTAACTTTCACTCATTGAAAAATATTGTAGGAAAATTGGTATTTAAATTTGATGAAGGTTTTTGCATCATTATATTAACACACTGACGGACCCAAAAAGGAAATTCACAAGTAATTGAAAGAATTGTTGGCACCAGCCTAATCAAAACTCTAGAAAATATGTGTCTGTATTTATAAGATATAGGACTACTCGTATAATAGAAGTACAGCAAAAAATGTATATGTAGTCCTGTTTATAATTAAAAAAACAACAAATATGTTCTAGTGTTAAGTAGGAAAAAAATATGTGTATGTAAAAGAAAGTAAGAAAAAATACCATTTTTAGTTTCTAAAACATTTACCTGGACAAAAGGGTATCTGAATACCTAAAAAGTCCCGCCACAATAAAAGTTGTTGGTCTATACAGGCCGCGCCGAAGAGATGCAGTGATCGCTAGCACATCAACCTAAAATGAGTGTCCGATTTCCGTCTGAAGATCATCAACAATAGATGAGCTAACAACTAGGGGAGTGTGTTAATTTATCAGTTCAAAGCTGACCGTTGACCGAAAAATATGCACGGTTCATATTAATCTACGAAAACCTGCTTTTCTGGCCTATAATCTGGTGAAATTGGCTTCGAGATAGAAGACGCAGCCTTTAAAACATGTTGATCACGCAGTTTTTTCTTCGGGCGCGTCAACTATAGTGGGACATCTAAAAGTGTAGTATACAATCATATAGATAGGAACAACTGATTGCTATTGCAGTACATGTTGCCCTAAAACACATAAGAAAGTAAGCTGCTTCTGAAGTTATTGTCTTCCCAAGATAATTATTAGTTAACTGCTATTATGGCAGTCATTGTCCGTCAATGTGTTAAGGATTAATACAACCAGAATATTTTAATTTGCGAACACGCGATGTATTATTTTTTTGAATCTGCTCTCCGTCCATTTATACAAAGTACTATATTTATACCAAGTATTTTTGATTGCTTAAAGTAGCACATTTATTTTTACCTGCGATATGCAAGACTGTTTCCAAAACAGAGTGTCTTTTGTTAATTTTTGTACAAAATAAAGTATTTTTTATATATTATATGCTTTGTTTTATTTATTTTTTTTTCGTAAGTAGTCAAATATAATACCCATTTGGAGGCAAGATAGATGCTTATACAGATTAGAAAACACTGGGAAATCTTAACATTGGACAAGGTCACAATAAGTATCACAAGGTAAGTGACAAGACGTACTGGAGATGGTAACAGAGATATAACTAACACATCGAGCAAGCTGACTGTAGCAACGCAATGTCTATAAAGCCCTCATAGGGTGAGATTACAGAACGTCTGCAATTTCGCAAATATGGCGGCAACTTTGCAGATCTGCAAATATGGCGGACTTACAGATGCAAGAATCATGTTTTCGTATTCCAAAAAATATCCACAAATTCGCAATATTTATTTACCCTCAACAACACTAAACCCAAATCCACCCTTAAGGGTGAGATTACGGAAGCTCTGCAAATCGTATTTGCATCTGCAAATATCAGTTGCATTTGCAAAACAGATATATGGGAGGATAAAACATCCTACAAACTTGGAGATTGTCAATTTTTACTTTTTTTTTAATAACCGTTCCTTTTGATTGAATACAGTTCTCGGTGTCACAGTTTATCGAGTTTTTAAACATATAGTAATGGATTTGAGTTTGGTGTTGTTGGGGGTAATAAATATTGCGAATTTGCAGATATTTTATGGAATAAGTAATGTTGATACTTGCATCTGTAAGTCCGCCATATTTGCAGATCCGCAAAATTACCGCCATATTTGCAGATCTGCAAAGTTGCAGACGTTCTGTAATTTCACCCTTAAGCTATATTTTTTGGCTCCTGTCGTTTACCGATAAACATTGGACATGATTCGTATATTTCTAAAGCAAAAAATATGCCGCAAACCCGATTCTGATATATCTCATAGAAACAGAAATACAGCACTGGCTATTCTAGCTTAACTTTAGCATGGCCAATGTTTCTCGGTAACAACAAGAGCAAAGAAATTTAAAAACTGGTAAAAAATTAGCCAAAAAACACAGCATAAGTTACTTTGCGGGCGTATCACTTTGCCAAGCTAGCTTTATAGACATGGCAACGCATCTGTCTCACATTCTTCGGAAGGTAGTGGATTCGATCTCTAAAAGAGGATCAAAAGAAACACCAGAACCAGATATAAACCTTGAAAGTTCCAATAAGTAAAGTTCGAGGTTTCATAAGATATACTGGGTTCAGACAAAACAACTGGAAGAATATCCCAAACAAGCACATGGAAAAATCAAAGGAAGATCATGTTCAACAAGAATTGGAGAACTATTATACTCTATGAACAGGAACAAAATAAAAACAACGTACTCATTACTGTTAACTGGGCATGCCCGATCAGTAAAGGGATACCTTACCAAAATACGTGTTTATAAGGTCTGTTGTGGTTTTTCAGAAATATGTTCCGAGTACTAGATAACAAGTGGAAAGTTGAAAAGTTTTACATAACGCGTATAATTTGATATTCAACTGTTTCATTGGATCTCGGACGGTTTATAGATTTTGAAGAAACCAGAACCAGCTTCTAACCACTACGAAACATTAGATCACAAAAGACCAGAGGAGCATGTACGGGGGGAGTATTGGGAGTAATAACTCCCAATAATTTTTAAACCTAACTTTTTATAGGTACTAAAATATATTATTATCAAAAATAAAGTCGTAAATATGACCACTACCCCCCCAGACTTAAACTTTATTTCCAGTACCTCCCCCAGACTTAAACTTTATTACAACTACCCCCTACCTCAGACTTAAATTTTGGATGCGTCTCTGCAAAAGACAGGCACTTTTTGAACGAGCACAGGTTGATTCAACAGCCTGTAGAACACATGGCCAAAGACTTGTTTAAACTTTTACAAGGAATGAAGATGACAAAGTGGGATTCAACATTTAATTCCTTAGGCTGCAGTGAGTTATAGGAAAAAACAACCTGAACATTTTAATTAGCGAACACGTATAGGAATATGATGAAGTGTTATAATACTTTTAAGCATTGTGTAATATGGATTCTTTAACAAAGGGACCACTATATTTCTGCACACGTGCAGTTTTGTTTATATTAACGCTATTTGATTGTTGAGTGTTCCTTTTTTTAGATGCTTTTGTTTTTTGGTCAGTCAAGACATATTCGTTGTATCGATTATTTATTGTTATGTTATTATCGTGTTTCATTATAATTTTATATTATTTCTTACACACGCGATGCATTTTTTTAATCATCTGTCCATTTACACAAAGTACTACACCAAATATTTTTGATTGCTTTAAATTAGCACATTTATTTTTACCTGAGATGTGCAAGACTGTCTCCAAAACAGAATATCTTTTGTTAATTATACAAAATAAAGAATTTTTTTTATATATTGCAGCTTTCGTTTTGTTTTTTCGTATCTAGTTCAAGTATAATATCCATTGTGTTTGGGTGAGTCCTAAACCTTGAATGTAATTGTTTATTTTGTAATATTCTCAAACACTAATATTCTATTCATGTGAGAGACGAACGTGTTTTTGTTTTCAGATTGTTACCTAGTTGGAAAAATAGTAAGCGATAATTAAGGTAGTTCCTACACAGGGTCGGGTCGTACAGATTTTTTTTCTTTCCACAGATTTAAAAAATTGGTTGGTACTAAATAATATATTTTAAAATAAACCAAAAGAGCCTTATAAAGACATGAATAAACATTAAAAAAAAAATTTAACTTTTATTAAAGCTAAAATTAGAATAACGCCAAAGTCGAGTGTCATTTTATACTTATTTGTTGTTGTTCCATATTATATCCCCTATTTAATTGGTTCGAGTTTAATCTTAATGCACGATTTTTATAACAGCATGAAATTGGCGCATGGGCGTAGTCAAGGGGACAGTGGGGGCAGGAAGAAAATCGGCTTACACCCGAAAAATAATGAAATTTTTGAAAATTATGACAATGAAAAATTCCTTATTCTCTCTTCAAAATTAAAATGATGAAAATTACACCCTCATGTCCCCAAAGTAAAAACAATAAAGTTGGGAATTTAAGAAAAATAAATGAGTTTTTGGAAAACTTTAACACAGTTAAACGAATGAAGTATCTTAAAAATTATTCTAGTTCCTTCTACACGATGTCAAAAGGGTGGTTTTATAAGGAGCTGAGATTGGATGATAATTCGGGTTCGACCCCCGGCCGATGCACTAGTTTTTTCTTCCTTTAATTCTCAGCTTATTCAAGTTTTCTTTGCTTTGTTTTCATTTCGGGCATATGAAGGTGTGTTTCAAATGCGTTATGTGTGATTAATCTTTTTTCTCCACTGGAGTTTTTTTCAGATTACTCACACAATCTCGCTATTTATTGTTTAACTTTATAATGTGTTTTTCACTATTTGTTGTATTATATGCCCATAATGTTTATTAATGCATATTGCGCATTCTGTAATGGGCTTTGGCCGTTGGATGTATGATTAAATAAATAAATAAATAATTAAAAAAAAATTATAAATTTTCTGAAAATCTTGTTCAGCTATATTTTAGAGTGATTCCCAGCTGTAATGTTTATTTAAAATTGAGATTTCATCGGCAAAACTGATAACTTCGCCTTTGAATTTTTGTTGAAATAGGTCGTTTGTATAAATATTAAATAACAATAGTCCCAAGAGTGTTCCCTGAGGAATACCACATTTAATAACATTTAAAATACCGCTGTTATTATTAAATATTAATCTTCTTATAAAAGGGAACGGTTTTACGGTCGACAACTGGTAGAGGTCGGCGAACTGGCGCACTGGCCCTATTATTAGGTACCTTCAAAAATCACCTGTACCTGCTTGTACCTGACCCGTGCGCCGTACGTAAGTTACGCTCTTGACTAACTTAGAGGGGAGGCAAAAGCCAAACGTAAACGAATAACAAAACGAAACGAAAACATACAGGCAAGCAAGGCAAGGCAAAAGTTGCAAAGAAGGTAAGGTGTGGTCAACGAGGAGAGAAACGATGATGCGCCGTCGTGTGGTGGTGACACACAATCAGTGAAAATCAACCTGTTTTGTTTTCGTTTTCGATTAGTTGAAGTCGAGTTTTCCAAATAACGAACAAGAAGTCTCAAGAGATCAAGATAAACGTGTTTCAACAGTATTTACCAGGAATAAGTGCAATAACTTGATTTGATTTTTCATTGATGATTCAAAACAATGGGTGAATTCGAAGAAGAGGTAGACAATGTAAATATAACCATTAATTAATGACTAATATTTAATTTTAATGAGTTTATTTGTTATAACTCTAATGAGTAGGATCTGATTCATATGTACGATACACGATATACCTAGGTATATAGGTGTGTTTTGAATATATCATTATGTTTGATATAAAGTTATGCTTTTTAAATGATATTTAAAGGGGTCAACTCAAAACAGCTTATCTTTGGAATGAAAGTTATTCACCTTTTCAGCTAAATATAAATACCTGTAATGGTACAATTAGTATTTATTTTAATATACCTATTTTTGCTTTTTTAATTAGGTATAGGTAATGAAAATGTTACAATTACCTACTTAGCTTTTAAAATTATGTTGACTTTTTTAAAATAATTTGTATTTTAATCTGAATATGAAGGATTGGTTAAAACAATGACATTTTAGACCAGCGTTACTCAAAGTGTGGTTCGCGGAGCCCTGGGGCTCCGCAAAGCCTTTGTGGGGGCTCCACGACGAAAATAATAGTCATAATAAAAAAAAAAACAGTAATATCGTTATAAAAAAAGGGAGGGACTCGGCTTGAGGCCTTTTTTTAGAAGTCACTATAAATATAGGAGGATGCACAATGGACCGAATGAGGCCTAAGTGCCGTGGGGTAACCCACCCTCCACACATTACAGATACAGAAGAGAAAGGAGGATACGATTTTGCTTGGAGGACCTTCTTTTTCCTTTGCAGTCACTAAGAGGAAGGACAATATGATTTTGCTCAAAGGACCTTTTTTTAGAAATCACCAAGAGGAAGGAGGATATGATTTGGATTTTTTTGTGGGGGCTCCGCGAAGAAAGGGGAGGGACCTGGTTCAAGGCCTGTTTTTTTTAAGAGTCACTTTTTTTTGGAAATGTGTTTAAAGCTCTGTTAAATATTTCGCTTTCCAAAAAGGTTCCATTACCATAAACGTTTAAGAACCACTGTTTTAGACTATAGAATTACCAATAAACATAGGTAATTGGAAAAAAACCTAAGAAATAAAAATATGTGAGTAGGTTATTTAAATTTTTTAAGGTTTTATAGGTTTTTTAAGGTTTTTTGTTCATATATGTAAATAGTGTTGAAATTTAATTTCTCTCTGCTGTCTTTCCTTCGGATATAATTCAATACCTGTTGCGGTATTAGCCAAAGGAGTAGTTGTTTTCTGTAGGCAAACTGTCGTTAGTATTTTATGTGATATTGGCTTGGAGTTTTATTCATTTTATAATTAATTATTTGACAATCGTCATTTTCATTTTAATTTTCAAGTCTACCATGTTAAAATATGGTAAAGTAAATTAAATAGATACTGTGGCTACCATATTTTAAATGCAAAAATCTCTATAAGAGCTGAATTTATGCTATTAAAACAAGTATACCTTGTTTGTTCAAAAAGACTTGAAATAAAAATCAAAAAAGGCCAGGATTAAAAAAATTGATACTTTTTTTCATTCAGTAAATTTACAAAAAAAAAAAACAATAGAAAAAGATACATACATTACCAATTGAACATATTTTGAAATATAAATAATATTACCTACATAAGTAACCAGAAATGCCGTAATTACTTAGGGTCTGTTTTTTTTCAAAATAATGTAATGAATTCAGGGTTGGCAGGGTACAGGTTCTTTTAAAAAAACCTAAACGTGAAAATTCTGCAATTTTAGGTTTTTTAAGATATTAGGAATTCACAATTTTATATTACATAGTGTATATAAAAACATTTAATCAATGGCTATATCACTTCTTGATATTGATATTAATTATAGTGACAATTTTCACTGTTTATTTTTTTTTATATGCAAAATATAATTTTTTCTAATAAGTATAATTCAAAAAAAATATTTTCCAAGTTTTGCTTGTTTTTTCTTTATTATTAATAACTTTTGACATATATGACCAAAAAAACCTTAAAAACCTACTAATATATTTTTTAATTCTTAGATTTTTTCCAACCCTGCTTGATGGTTAACCAGTTGAGGACGGGATTTTTTTTAAATTTCGATTTTTCTACATATAAACTAAAAATTTCAATTTTTTTGATAAAATTTTTCCAAATATATATTTGAAATTTTGGATATGAATGTAAACCCTCCTATCTTCCACTAGGGGATGGTGGTTGTAAGATTTTTATACAAAAACGTTACAAAGGTCTATTTTAGAAAAATATGAAGCAAATTTCAAATTTTTTTACATGGTTGAATAGAGAATAAAACCCTCTTTCAAATGAGCTATCACTCACCACCCCATGCCATTTAAATTTTTCGAAAGGGTTGCTCCCCTCCAGTAAGGGATGCAATTAAGGGTAAACCATTCATACAAAAATGTACAATGTAGAAATCAAAAATCGACGTGTCTCGGCGATTTTCCTAACAAGACTCCAGTAACGAGTTAGATAGGGGGGGGGTAAGACTTATGGTGCTCACTGTATGTATGTGTATATTTTTACTAAATTTGTATATTGTGATATTAGTAAACTAGCTAAATAAAGGAAATAATAATAAAAATAGCAAATTGTTTTGGACAGTTTTATATTTTTTAGCACAAAAATGTGTCCTGGTTGTATTAAAAAAGATTTAGAAAGTTGATGTGATATTATGTTTTAAAGCTTTAAGATTTCCCAAGAAGATCAAATTGCAACAAAAATGTTCATACACTAAATAATAAAAGTTTATAGTACCTACTTAAATACTTGCGTTATAGATGTCAGTCCTCAAAAAGAAAGCATTTTTACATTATCTTTCAAATATGTATTACAAACCTTTTCGTCATTCCAACAACCATCTTTACTATTGAAACAATCTACCCTATTTTGCAATAAAAATATGTATTAATATATATTTTATTTTCAGGTCAAAAAACGCTCTCTGGCCGGCAATGTAGGCATAGGATTCTTCGTCGTGGCCTTTGTATCCATATTTGTAGCCTTTGCCACCCCAAGCTGGTTAGTATCAGACTACAGAATAACAGGAGCTAAGCTAGACCGCTTAGGACTGTGGGTTCATTGTTTTCGGTCTCTTCCTGACCCATATCATTACAACCAAGTAAACCAAAGGTTTTTCGTCGGTTGCAGATGGATATATGATCCCTTTACTACAGGTTATGACCAAATAAGAGGGTTCTTGATACCAGATTTTATGGTAGCGACACAATTTTTTTTTACTTTATGCTTTATAGCAATTTTATTAGGAACCATAATGACCTTGATATATTTCTTGTGCTGCGGACCTGACCAGAAGCAGTTCGTCATTCTGATAGTATTAAATTCTTGGATACTATTATGTGGAGCGATATCAGGGTCAATAGCTGTAATTGTTTTTGGTGCTAAGGCCAACAGAAATGGTTGGATGCCAGGACATGAAAATAATTTCTTTGGTTGGTCTTATGCTTTAGCTTGCATAGGAGTCATTGCATGTTACATAGCTTCCGCTTTGTTTTTTGTGGATGGACATGTACAAAAAAAAAAGAAAAAAAGGCTTATAGAAAGCCAAAGCAGGTTAGAAATGGAGCCAGAACACAAAGGATGGTAACTTATACGTACACGTACGTATGAATGTTAGTTAGAATGTTATTTTTGAAGTTTGTAGGGTTACAGTTAAAATTCTCAATGGTGTTTAGTCACCCAAATAACATACTAAAAAATAAAGTACAGTATATTTTGTATTACTGAATAAAAAAGATTATATTATTTAGGTGACTAAATATGCTTAGTATTCATGGGCAGTTTATCAGTTTTGGATAACCAAACAAGCTTTGTTAAATTAGTTACTTATACAAAAGGAACAAAATTATCACACTGCCTATTTACAATATGATCTTTTATGAATAAGTGATATTATTTAAGTGTTAAGTTAACCTTTACAACTTCCTTGAGGCAATACAGAAATTACCAATAGAACTTGGTGTCTATAAACATAAACATCCCTTATTAGGTATACCATAAATTTGTTTAGGTAGTCATTTATGTTTGAATGTTAATTGTATCTACACTTTATTTTTGAATCATTTTCTTCAGCTATTGTTGATGAATTGGTACGTTTCAAATATGTAATTCATGTTATTAATAAGTACTACAGGTTCAAAGCCATGTACCTACTTCTATTTTTAGTGAAAGTGACCCTGACTTCTTTTTTTCTCTAATTAATGACAAACATTTTAATTAATAATTAAATATGAGTAATTACTTATATAAAATGTTTAATAAATCTTCTGCGTATGTTTGTAATAATTTAAAATATATGTAGTAAGGTAAATCAATCTTTTTTGACAAAATTAAGTGTACCTACTTGAATTTGAGGAACTTCTTAATGTTGTTATCTTATTTTAGAAATATTTTACCTATAAGAATATGCTGAAAGCAATTTTTTGTGGGTCCAAATTATTTTATCAAAATAAACAGTATTACTATGATCATTCCAAAATTCACTGATAATCAGCACATTTTTTAATAGATCAAAATGAAGCACAAATTATTTTGTCTCTCTATAAGATTAATAATTGTGGGTAAGCTAAGTTCATATCTATCAACTTTAGTGCCTTTATATTATAGTGTTCAAAAAATCTATGTATCAAACAAATTACAATTATTTCCCAAGCAGCTTAAACCATGAATATATAATTCACTTTTAAATGAGTTACTTGTTTAGTAACCTACATAAATTGATCTAGAAATGTTTATAAAATCTTCCAGTAAATTGGGAATGTTATATTGACAAAAATATATAATAAATCAGCACTATGATTTTAAAAATTGTTTAAGCTAAGAATATAATGATAGATAGCATAATTTAGTGCCTTTATAGTGTTCAAAAAAGTAAATTGTAAGAATTTTATACTATTTCCGTCCAAAATTGTTGTAAGTAAATTAAATTATAAGATGTTGCTTTTTTTGAGGCTGTAGTTATATTTTAAAACATTCCTCTTATATTTTAGTCCCTCCAAAATAAAATGATTTTTATACACTTGCATTTTTTTATATTTCTACTTAATTAACTCTTTTGTGAATAAATTTAGAATCTCATACTGATATTTAGTTTACTCTTTTTTACTGTTTAACAATAAAGTGGTTTTATATAATTGTTTTATAAAAGCATGCCAATTTTTTTAAATAAAAACGTGTTATACAAATTAGTTGTTTAATTTAATAAATCTAACATACCTTTATGCACATATTCTGCACTAAACTATAAAAAAAATTAATAAAAATTACTTATTTTAAAAAGCTATAAATGAGCAAATTATGAAATTATTCTCGAGCACAAAACGCTGAAAATGTGAAAACAAAACAATTTACTCTGTTTTGTGATGTGTGGTTATCACGGAATTCTAAAAAACCATTGTCGCCAATATAATAAAAAAAAATCTAGTACGAAATTGGCTGAGTTGTCCTTGAACGAAAGTCGAAGTTCGGTTATATTGCGTGAATTTAGAAATGGATAGTAACAAATCCGTAAATGTACTAAGGACCGATTCCACCGTTGTGTTAAACGAAGTTTAAAGTGACATTATTAATGTAAAAATGCCATTTTAAACTTTGTTTAACACAACGGTGGAATCGGTCCTTAACAGTTACAGATTTGTTAATATCAGCTATATCAAGCTAGCGGGCACTCTGTGGCGGCACCATTCAAGACCTGGCGGTTTTTTTGTAGCTTTTTTGTTACACTATTTGCAAATTTGTAGCTTAGCCCAGGTCCGAAAAAACAGCGGATCCGCTAGCTTGAATTTCCATAAATTCCATAATAGCGGCACAGATTCAGACCCAGCTGGTTTTTCGTAACTTTTTTGTAGCTTTTTTGTTACGCTAGTCTCCCTTTTGTAGCTTGTACTGAACCTGAGTAAAGCGCGGATCCGCTAGCTTAGCGGATATTTGTAGCGGCACCAGCCCGGACCCGGCTCATTTTTTGTAACTTTTTTGTAGCTTTTTTGTTACGCCTGTCTCGATTTCGTTGCGAGGCCTGAACGTGAGTAATAATCGTTTCTTCATGAGCGTGAGAGAAAAGTGCGTTATTTTAAAATCAAGTTTCGGCCTCTACAAGTAATATGTGCAATTCGATAGTGTGACTATCTGTTGCTAGATGGCACCAGTATTGCATTTCACGAATTATGGCCATCTTCCATCCAATATATTTTTGAGAAATTTAGATATAATCTCAAAATCGGACATTTTCAACGGTATGTATATTAATTATTTGTCCGATATTAATGTAAAATACATATTGACAAGATTATTAAAATAGTTGTATGTCGGACGCCACTATTTTCCCGATCGGGTGTTTTCGGTTATTTTTAATGCTAAAAACTTACTGCTAACTTCACACCGGTAGTAATAGCTACCAAGCAATTACCTATTCTCGCACTATATACAGGGTGTTCCATCTCACACGAGCCACCCCGTATAGTTCTTATCCCATAGTAATTGGAAAACTTTCCCGAAACACGTCTGATGATTTTCTTTGGGGGGCATCTTTTGACGCATATTTGAGGCTTGAACGAGCAACCCCCTATAAGGGGGCGCTTCAACCCCTCAAAATTGAATAGGGAAGTGGGGTTGGGTGATACTTCATTTGTAAGGTCCTGGAAGCCTCTTTACACGGTGTATGAAAAAAATCACATTCTTAAAAAAATCAATTGTTTTATCATGCTTACAATCAAAAAAATCAGAACTGCTTTTTTAAATGAAATGTTCAATTTGTCTTCCATTGACTTCCATGCAATAATAAATTCTCTCGAACTAATAAATTAAAAAAAAATCAAAACATTTTCTTATCTTGCCTTTATTTTTTGTTCTTAGAAGGTGTTTATCACGTTTCTTCGATCATTTCATGTGATAAAACAATTAATTTTTTTTAAGAATGTGATTTTTTTTCATACACCGTTGTAAAGATGCTTTCAAGTCCTTACAAATGATGTATATCACTCAACCCTTCTTCCCTATTCCATTTTGAGGGGTTGAAGCGCCCCCTCATAGGGGGTTGCTGGTTCAAGCCTCAAATATACGTCAAAACATGTCCCCCAAAGAAAATCATCAGACGTGTTTCGGGAAATTTTTCCAATTACTATGGGATAAGAAAGAAGCTCGTCTTAGATAGAACACACTGTATAGTTGTGATCCGACAGAATTAAACACTGGTCCATAAATACTGCAAAACGATTGGTTAAGGAAATCATTCAAAAAAGATGTAAGAATATTCTTGATTCAACAAAAGTATAAATACATAAACAACACTAAAAAACATTTAAAAACAAATGTCCGATTTTGAGATTATGGGTGCTATGATTGAACGTTTACGTTATCCGTAACGTACATGTTAGGCCGAATTTTAAAAGTAACGAGGCAAGTTCGGATGATGGAAAACTGTTAAATTAGAAGATAACAGGCGGAAAATAACAGTAATGTGTTATGAAAGACTTTACATCATACGAATTTGTCTCTTTGCTGTTAAAACTCGGCCTAACATGTACGTTACGGATAACGTAAACGTTCAATCATACCACCCATTATCTAAATTTCTCAAAAATATATTGGATTGAAGATGGTCATAATTCGTGAAATGCAATACTGGTGCCATCTATCAACAGATAGTCACACTATCGAGTTGCACATATTACTTGTAGAGGCCGAAACTTGATTTTAAATTAACGCACTTTTCTCTCACACTCGTGGAGAAACGATTATTACTCACGTTTAGGCCTCGCAACGAAATGGAGACAGGCGTAACAAAAAAAGCTACAAAAAAGCTACAAAAAATGAGCCTGGTCCGAGCTGGTGCCGCTACAAATATCCGCTAAGCTAGCGGATCCGCGCTTTTCTCAGGTTCAGTACAAGCTACAAAAGGGAGACTAGCGTAACAAAAAAGCTACAAAAAAGTTACGAAAAACCAGCTGGGTCTGAATCTGTGCCGCTACTATGGAATTTATGGAAATTCAAGCTAGCGGATCCGCTGTTTTTTCGGACCTGGGCAAAGCTACAAATTCGCAAATAGCGTAACAAAAAAGCTACAAAAAACCCACCAGGGGGTCGATTCTCGACTTGTAGGTACCTTTTCCTATAGGAATTTGTGACACTTTCCTATATGTAGGTAAATGTCATAAATTTTAGATGTATAGAAAGATGTCAAAAATTCCTATAGGAAAAAATTCCTACGAGTCGAGAATCGACCCCCAGGTCTTGTATGGTGCCGCCACAGAGTGCCCGCTAGCTTGATATAGCCGTTAATATCCATCTCTAAATTCCAGTGTAACACCGGAACCTTTAGAGACGTTGTAACCGAACTTCGATTATAGTTCAAGGACGACTTACCCAAGTCCGACTCAGTCAAGTTCTGTTTATAAATACGGACCTGAAACAGGCCAAACCTTGGCTGAATTATTCGACTATCGAGTGCATTAAGATTAAAGAAGAAAATTGTTACGATAAAAGTCAAAACATCCGTCAAATTGTCAAAATAAACAAAAAAGGGCGTGGAGGTGAGTAAGAAGGTATTTACCATAAAAATAGTTACATATTAATAAAATTCATTGCTTAAATAAAGTTATATATCGTTTTCTAGATTAGTTTAACCATGACGACCATGAGGGATGATAGCAAAAATAATTATCCAAAGGCTTCAAGTAAGTAAAATTATATGTATTGTTTTTGTTTGGATGGATAATTAGTCTCAATTATTTAGAAAGAAAAATCGTTACTGCTAATCTGAAATAATTAAACAGTCATATATCTGTAGAAGTTAATCTGATATGAATTACTAGGTGAATAGCTATTTAAGAAATGTATAAATAAAATTCTGTTTTAACTATGGGAGTTCTACTCTAAAATAATAAACAATGTAATTAATTGCATTTTTTTTTAGATTTCTTGGTAAATGGAGCACTTTTGACATACATAGGAGGGATGTTTATGATGATTGCATTTTGCAGGTAAGTCTGGGTTGATTTTTCAGTACTAAAGTATTCAGAGGTCAACAAGCTTTATTATGAATTCATTGTCACTGTAGCATACGTTGTTTTTGCAATTTTTTTCATACTTATTAAAATATCTTCTGCAGAAGATTATTTCATGAATGTATGTATACACAAGTGCATTTTAAAGATATTCGCAAGAACAAACTTTTGGATATTTTTATATATTGCCACTTTGGTTAATATATGATATACATTAGATTGTGGTTTAGGCTTTACCTTTACAACCACTATCAATGGTAAAATAACTATAGATATTATTGGGTATTATTAAATATCTCTGTAAAACCATACACAATGCCTCAGAGAAAACACAAATGCTGAGTCAACTAGTTAAAAAAGACCGTTGAAACGTTAAAGTAAAGCTTAAACTACAGTCTAATAGCTATTTAACAGACTTCAAAAAAGAAGGAAGTTCTCAATTCATCACAATATTTTTTTTTTATTTTTTTTTATGTATGTTCAGTAACTTTTTAACACGGTGTCCGATTTCAATGATTCTTTTTTTGTACTTCAGGGTACTTCAGGGGTGGTCCTATATAAATTTGGTCAAAATCTAATAATTGGGTCCATGAGAAAATCCTCAAACTCTTCATTTTTTTATGTATATTTAGTGATAATGCTTTACCACCTTGTCAGATTTATATGATTTTTTTTTGTTAGTAAGGGGGTACCTCAGAGGTGGTCCCATATAAATTTGGTTTACATGTGGTGATAGCATCTGCACGTTTTTGAAGTTGGTTTTTTAACATTTTTAATTCTAATACTTGTTTACATCTACTCTGAAATATATAAACTTCATTGCAAACCATCTACACTGTGATTCACTTTTCATGACGACACCAATGTATTCTTAATTTTTACCAAGTTCAATCATATTTGGTAAGAAAATTGATTCCCAAATCATTTATCAAAAACATGTTCTACAATTTAGGATCTTTTTTCAGAATTTTGATTATTTTTTACTATGTTAATAGGTCATTTCAGGTACAGACTTAACTTTACCACATTGTCGATTTTATATTAAATAATTTCTGTGTATATTAATAAGTAGAATTATAAATTGATGATGTCAAATTAGGACAGAGACAACAATTTAGCATCTTTTTTCAGAATTTTCATTATTTATTACTAAGTTAATAGGTCATTTCAGGTACAGACTTAACTTTACCACATTGTCGATTTTATATTAAATAATTTCTGTGTATATTAATAAGTAGAATTATAAATTGATGACATCAAATTAGGGCAGAGACAGTAATAATAGTTTACTAATAGTTTCAAATGCCTTCTTTAAACCCAAAAACACTGCCAGTGTATCAAAATTATGAAAACTTCCACCAATTACTGTAAAGCAGTTTTACAGTTGTGTTTACTACATAATTCTGACTGCACATTACTTATAAACTGTTCCCCTCTAAATAATCAATAATTTGAAAATATATATTTTTTTTATATTCAATAATTCTTTATTATTACAATAATAACAGGATTCATTACAACAATAAACAAAATATAAATTAATCACAGGTAAATAAGTTAGCACCTAGGTGTGGGCACTTGTATGTGCTAGAGAGACTAAGACTGAACTGAAGACTAAAAACTACAATGTAAAGTTAATGTATTTTTAAGAAATGTTTTTCAATAAATGTAATAATGTAGTAATGTTATGTATAATATATAATAATCTTGTAAAAATATTGTAATCTACAGGGTTTCAACATATTACAGTGATACGTGTGTTATTCTAAGAAGAATTTATACAATTTTCAGTAGTTTTGGAAGAAGACGAAAAATATATTACTTTTCCAACAGCACTGATCAAATTTAACTGTCTTAAAGGGTTAGCCATACTTTGATTCAATATTTTTGGTATCAGAATTATTGTAGCAATCTTAATATCGCCTAGAACTAAGCTTGTTTCAATAGAAAAATTTATAATATGTAATAGAGGTTGGGATAAACTCTCAAAAAATTATTTTAATAAATGTGGATATTTTGTCTGTACTATTTTTATTTGACATTGAAAATAATATATCTTTTAATCATTATATTTAATTAGTTTAAAATAGACAAAAACGTTTCGATTTCACTTAGATGAGGTATATTTAATCAGACAATTATTAATAGAAGGTAATTGTTCAAATATTTTTTCTATACTTTATGTAGTAATAATTTAAAGCATTTGGAAAAGTAAGATTCTAATGATTGTCACAAAAAATGTCGAATTAATATTAGTATTAGTAAAACTGCTTGCAATATAAGTTGTTGGAATGAAAGTTCTCCACATCTCAGTAGGGTTACCCTTGTTTAAATGGGTCCTTTTCAGTAACCTTTTAATTTTCACTATAAGTGATTTTGAAAATCTCACCTTAAGTTATCAGTTTAATATCATCCTTTTTATATTGTTACATGCTTGAAATACTTGGTTTGAGCCTTGGTTATTGAAAATATTCATATACTTTTTTTTTCTGTAGAAATTTGTCTATGTATGTCTTATATTTTAAGATTTCCGTCACGTATAACTACAAAAAAAAAATTAGATAACGTTTAAATTATTATTGTTATAATGTTTTTCTAAAGTACCATCATCTTTTAAAAATACATCAACCAAATGTGCTACTACAATCTAAGTAAATGTAGTGAGAAAAATTTGCAAATTTATTAAAAAAAAGGTAAAAAGAGATGTTCTTTTTTAGTAAAAAAATCTAAAGTAGCTTATAGAAATTGCATAAATTATTTAAATAACTCTAAAATAGTACGTTAAATTGAAATACAATTTCACTAAAACGTGAGGTGACGGAAATATGAAAGAGTAACGGAGATATGATAATGTGTCGAAAATATGAAAAGTATAGAAAATTACGAAAGAAAATACATTAATTTTTTAAAAATTTCAAAATTAGATTCTGTGGTTTGATGACAATATTTCTTCAAAATCTTTTAATTTGGCTTTTGCTAAGTTACATGATTTTAACTTGGATATTGCTTTGTTAGTGATGTCACGTACCTAACTTAATTTTGAAGGTATTGTGATGTTTGTTTATTTTAAACAACAGTTTATTTGTAAATAATTTATTTAAACATTTATTTTATAACACTACAATTCTAATTTATATATATTTCGAAGTCTCTAAATTGTTCACTATTTATCTTTACAGAGGTTTGTATACTACTGACTCCATGTTCCTCCACTAATATTTATATATACATTTAAGATATTGGCGAAGGTACTAGAATTTTCACCAATTCTCACCAATACTAGAAATATTACGAAAAGCGCTTCCGCCATATGTTTGGTCTTAAGGGGATTAATTATGTATGATAATCGGACAAGTTGAGCCTCTAAGGCCAAATAAGACAGAGAGGGACTTGGAAGATTAGAGCATGACTGAATAATTAAATGGCTCACATTACAGTATTTTTGTTCAACTTTTTATCTATTACTTGTTTTTCTAATGCACTCTCCTTCATGTCTTTTAACATTTAATGAAGCTTTTTTTTCTTCACTTTCATTATCTTTCTTTGTGCTTATTGTTAGCGTTACATCATCTGAACTAATTTTCAGGGAAACTCATACCGAAGAGTTTTCCTCCATATTAACTGAAAGAAAATCTTTTTTACTATTGATTACTGTTTGAAATTCACTTTGAGCAGATAGACAATAAATATAACAGTATCATTTTCATTTTTTGAAATGAAACCGTTTAAATAAATTAATATTTCCATCCCATTCGTCATATCTCCGTCACATTTTAATGTCAGCGTGACAGATATTAGACGTGACGGTAATATGATTCACTTAATATAGATCTTTTGAATTTGTGCACATACTATATTAAACAATTAGGTTAGCAATGTAAACATTGGCCAGGGTATACTTTTTAAAAATATTTAAATAAAAACGCTATTTGCTGTTTAAAAATAAATATCCTATGGAACGGAAATCCGAAGAAAAAAAAAACCGCCAAAATTTTACTTGTTCTATTGAAGAATCGTACAATAAAATACTACTGCCTTCACAATTACTGCTTGGCATGAATGCACTGGGCCTTAGCAAAATCAGATTTATTTTATTCGCAGATACCGCCACCTGATGGTCACTTTTTTAACTTAAAGTTGAAGTGACGGAGATCGGGTACACGCAGCATGACAACCAATATTCAATATTTAGTAACATGTATAGTCGATTTTTTGTTGCATTTTATTATTATATTGACAGTTAAAATATGGCAGATTATGAAAAATAGCGACATGTATATTAAATGACAAAGGTACAAACATAGGAAATAGCAAGCGTGACGGAGGCATGAAATTGCATGTTTAAAAAACAAAAAAATGTATAAGACATAAACTATTTGTGAATTTTTGTTTTTGTCATATTCGGCCAGGTACCAAACTATAAATCTTTGCAAAAATTTTGCTAAATATCTTGAGAGATGTAGGTGTAATCGTTAAGATCACTCAAATTAAAAGTTATTGAAAAGGACCCAAATCTATTTTGGTTTCCAAGTATTTGCTTCCTTCACGTTTAATTACATTCACTGTTTTATTCCTATTGCATTTATATATTTGCCAGTTTCCCTCGGATTTGTTAGTAATAAATGTTTTATAATTTTTATCTCTCACACTAATAGCAGCTCTAACCTGATCGTTCCACCAGTTCTGATATGGTAAAATTTTAACTTGTTTTTTTGGTCGACTTCATTGACAACTTTCAAAATTGTATTTAAAAAATATCTGTATTTCTCATTAATATTAACCAATAATTCCATGTAATATACGAACTTGGCGTCCAAATTTGTAGGGGTGGTAGTTCGCATAATTTGAGACCGATTCGCAGATTTCATTTTTCCAAAATATTTAAAATAAAAATAATTAAAAATTTTAAACGGGTACGGTCATGCGCAGAGAAGGGACTGCCTCGACTCGCGCGCGCTAAATAAAATTCTCTGAACGCGAGGTAAACAACCCTACAGTTCATCAAATTTCTAGAGGTGTTCGACGCCCAGACAGAGAACGCGCTACGTGTGACTAAGATAGCTATTGTACAGTCTGCTAAACAAGTTATTTTAAATAGTTTTTAATATTTTTAGGTAATTAAATTTTAAAAGTCTGGAATAGTTTAGGGATTAAATTGGTCTGATTGGACTTTCTTAGAACGTTTTTAAAAGCAGCTAAAGATAGTATGTAGAATTGAAAATAATTATTAGGCCCTAAAAGGTGTTTTGGAATTCCTTCAATCTTTTGAAATTGAGTCAGAAAATATAAGTTTTATAGGATAGCGGAAAATACCTATAATTTTTTTGTAGGCCTTTGTAAATCGTGAAAATAGTTTATATTTTATTTCTACCTTATTAAGGAAAATGGTACCTATTATTAATAACGGTTGTTTCTGAAACATTACTAACATTTTCGAAATTTTGTTTTTCTACAAAATAATAAACTATACTATTTAGAAAAAAATTTATTTCTCTTATAATTTTATAAAAAATAACACTGGAATATTTACATTTCTTGATCTATTAAACAAAACGATAAATTATCTCGACGAATGACACCATGTTCTAGTACGGAAGCTAGCTTTACATTTTTGTTGGTGGTTTCATGGGTTTCATATCAATTTTTTGTAATTGTAGTTTACACGTACATATACCTCTTAACACTTGTTTGCTTTATTAAAAAAATGTGTTGTTGTGATTTACGTCGAAATAAGTCAAAAACAACTTGAAACCTTATATAAAATCAAAAAGGAGAAACGGAAAAAAATTGAGCCTGTAAATGAACACAACTCAGAAACAAAAATAGCTATCTAATAATAAAAAAATAAAATTTGATTCTTGTGCAGCTTCATCTATATCATTAACTGTTTTTGGTTTTTTAATGGTTTTTCTTGGTGATGAAAATTCCGATATCTCACGGTTATCGATTCTTTTTTTCTCTCCAGAAATGCGGACGACAGTGTTTTTAGATACTCCTGTGGCTGCAGCAACACGATCATTTACATTTTTAAATGATATTGAAGGTGAATTAAAGTTTCCTTCTCTTCTCATAAACTCTATAACATTGGCTATTATTTCGCGAGATTGACTGTTAATCACGCGGCCTCTTAATTTGCTATTAAACTCCATACTTAGGTTCTATTAAACTGTAATGAGCAAAAAACACAAACGAAAATAAAAGAAATGTTTTAGCGAAATTTACATCTGACATTTACGTCTGAATGAAATAGTGAAATACTTGATGCGCAGAGTGTACTTTCATTGCGTAAATCCGTCGGGATGCCTGTCAGTAGTGCTTTCTCTGTCTAGCCGTCGAAAGCCTCTAGAAATTTGATGAACTGTACAAAGCAATACACACTAGAAAAACAATCCGCTACATCTTTCGATACCGGTCGGGCGGAGGAAGAAATTTGCAAATCGCATCTATTTTTGAGTTGTAAATCCCGATGAGTAACAGATCAGGCGACTATTGCGCTACGCGCTTAGGGTAGGACCCGCTTTTTGATTTTTTTTTTATAATGGCTCTATTTTGTTTATTATAATTTTTTTAGAAAAATGAAATCTACCAATCGCTCTCAAATTATGCGAACTACCACCCCTACAACTTTGGACGTCAAGTTCGGAAACATCCTGTATACTAGTGGAAAAATTAGGGGATAAAAAAAATCTCGATTTTTGAGATTTTTCGAGTGGCTGTATCTTTGGTAAAAATGGTCGTACTGAATGAAAAAAAAAAAAAAAAGAATTTGAAGCTTGAAATGTCTAGTTTATGAATCTTGCTATAAAAAAAATTCCAACCAACAATTAGCACAAAATCCTTGGTTAAGATGTGGCATCTGCACGTTTTTGAAGTCGGTTTTTTTAAATTTTTAATTTGTAATACTTGTTAACACTAGTATATTTTAGATTATTATTAATTATTGTACAATCAATAGTTTCCCTTTTCTGTTTTTTTTGTTGTTTCATTATTCAATAATATTTCTGCGACTACTAATTTTTGGTCTCTGTCCCAAAGGATGGTAGGTTATATACATTCAGATGGATTTTGAGTATTTTTAACCGACTTCAAAAAAGGAGGAGGTTATCAATTCGTCCCGATATTTTTTTTTTTTTTTAATATATGTTCAGCGATAATTCTTTAACACGGTGTCCGATTTCAATAATTCTTTTTTTGTTAGAAAGGGGCTACTTCAGGGGTGGTCCCATATAAATTTGGTCAAAATCTAATTATTGGATCCATGACAAAATGCTCAAACTCTTCATTTTTTATGTATGTTTAGCGATAATGCTTTACCACCTTGTCCGATTTATATGATTCTTTTTTTGTTAGTAAGGGGGTACCTCGGGGGTGGTTCCATATAAATTTGGTTAAGATGTGGTGATGGCATCTGCACGTTTTTGAAGTCGTTTTTTTTTAAATTTTTAATTTCTTATACTTGTAAAGTAATAATTACTAATGTGTTGTATTGAATCACAGTGTATGTCATTATAGGGATTATAGAATTTACTTAAATGGCTGTGCCATTAATAGTGCCATTAATAAATAAAAATTAATGAAAACGAAAAATGTAGAGTATTATTAATTTTTATTTTATTTCAGTCCGTATTGGGTGAAGTCCTTTGACGAAACTTTCTCCCAATTCAAGCACATGGGTCTATGGGAATACTGCTTCGATCAATTCCGCTACCCTTATTACCAATTCGACCATCTTTTCGACGGATGTCACCACGTCTTCAGCGAAGAGTACTACGTGATAAGAGAATGGTTACTGCCACCGTGGTTGATGACCGTACAAAGCTTTATGACTATCGCTTTCTTGTTGACCTTTTTCGCGCAAGTTGTGATGGCCTTCCAATTGGTCAGATTCCCATTGAATTTCATATTGCAGAGAGAATATATACTGTCGTTTATGTGTTTTGTTTGTGTAACTACCACAGGTAAGATTTAAGCTAATAAATCGTATTATATTGGTTATGTATTGATTTAATTTTCAGCTGTCTTGTTATTTTTCTCTATAACAATTTTTGGAGCGTCTCATGTGCGCAGAGATTGGTTGATGTATCCAAATTTCAACTATCTTTCATGGTCGTATGGTATGGCTTGTCTTTCATTCTTTTTCCATGGATTTTCGGCGTTTTGTCTATTCAAAGAGTTTCAATTTAGTTATGATAGAAGGAGGGAATCCAAAAATCTTATTATGCAAATGCAGCCTAATCCTCAGCACAGATTAGGTTGGGCCATACAGTAATTTCGTAATATCTACAAAGATGACCTTCAAGTGTTGCTTAATGATTGGTTAAAGGTGCGAAAATTTGATATTGGTAGATGTTTTAAAGATGGAATAAAATTTTTCGTTATTAAATTACTAATATAGTTATGTAATTGTTTAGAGATAAATTTGTATCATTATGGAATTGTTTTAATGCATATAAATCCAATGTCAAATTTTTGTATCCTGTTTGAGCATACTCAATAATATATAGGTATTTTTATTTGAAACAACTTTTTTTGTTTAATGTATATTTCAATTCTTTTTAGTTGGAATCTTTATTTTTTTTGAATCTCTTTTATTGTTTATGGTAATTATATCATATCAAATTGTGATCTACGATCAATCTCATGTTTAAATGTAGTAATTTTTATAAATGATGCTTTTTCTTCGAAAAAATTGTAGAAAGTGTTTTTCTACAATAATTAGTTTTGTTATCAATTTATATATTGTATATATTTTTTTTGGGAGTGCATGGAGCAATGCAAAGTAAGTGCCTTGATATATTTATATTTTCTTATAAATCAAGACATATATTTTACTTTAAAAAAAGAATAATTATTGTTTAATAGTTGCATGTATAAGTAAATGACAAATTTTTAAAATTTAATATGATATACTATTTTTCTCCAGAAGAACAATGACGCAAGTGAAAATTAATGATTCCACAGAATAGCAAATTAAAAAAAAAAAAAATAACATGAAACTTACAACTAAGACGTTAAGGAAAAGTTTGGAAATAATCTATAGGGACTTCGAGATAGCAAATTTATTTTAGATCTACTTTATTTTACTCTTTTTGAAACAATTGAAGATTTATAAGCCTTAAAAATAAAACATGCAGTTGCGTCATTATTCTTCCGGAAAAGCGAAATGAAATAGTGACTCTAAATCCGACATTCCACATGTAATAAGTTTGTGATATTTGTTGTTTTTGAATAAGAAGGTTATCCATATCTCAAATGTGGTGTATCCGTAAAGGAAAGGAAAAATTCTAAGTCTTAACCACAAAAATTATTTATTCTTTTAAAACAGGAAACGCTACTAGTTTCGGTCAATGACCATCATCAGGCATAGTAAAAGGACTGGAAAAATAAACTAAAAAGGGAACATCCAGCTAAGCAGACTATTGAGCTCTAGATAAAGTCTTAATTGTGGTTTTAAATTTCGTTAATCCAATTCCAAGATAAGCGTTCTGTCCATTTAGTACGGTGGACAGAACGCTTATCTTGGAATTGGATTTACGAAATTTAAAATCACAATTAAGCTCTTATCTAGAGCTCAACAGTCGGCTTCCTTTTTAGTTTATTTGTCAAGTCCTTTTACTATGCCTGATGATGGTCATTGACTGAAACTAGTCGCTTTTCCCTGTTTTAAAACAATAAATAATTTTTGTGGTTAAGACTTACGAGTTTTTTCTTTCCTTTTGTTGTTTTTATTTTTGGAAAAGAGAATGAGATTACATCCATGCACAATTCACTGTATGCTATAAAGATTATTTTCGAAAAATAAACTTATCAAAAACGAAAATTTTGACTGACATGCAGTATTTTATATTTTATGTCATACTAGTTCATTATAGTGTTTTAATTGCTCAGTTACCAACTCATAATAGTGTACTTTATGTAGTGATGGGTAAATTTCTAGGAATGAAGTGTTCGCGAAATTATTTTTTCAAAAATTCTCAGTAAATTGTGAATTTCAGCTCATTTGCTATTCTATTTATTCATGATAGGCAGGACACAAAACAAAAACAATTAAATTTCCCTCTTTTTTTTTAACTTATGATCAATATTCTTATTTACTGTTAAAAGTTTTCTTAACCACTGAATATCTGGACTACCAAAAACTATGTGAATATGCTATACACAGTTTCCTGTAATCCAGTTTAGTAATTTATCATACCTTCTGTTATATTCGTCTCCCGATTTCTTTAGTAGCAAGTTTTGAATTGTTTTTCCATTTTCTTTTATGCAATTTCGTCAGGAATTTCAAAATTTTCCTGCATTTTAAGTTTGACAGAATTTCATTAGCAGCTTTTTTTTCTCTCTCTCCTGGGCTTGTCTGACTATGTCTTCGAACAATACTGAAGCTTATTGGCTTATTGTGTTTTACTCCATGTTAGTTCATAGCACACACTCTGTACAGATCGTTGGATGAGTGGGTTCTATATGTTGGATCAACCTGAGGTTGTCCAAAAAGTGCCTGTCTTTTGCAATCTAGAGCTTCACATTCGCATAGTATGTGTTTGGCCGTTTCTGGTTTCTTGTGACATAGTCGGCACATGAGTTCCCCATTGTACATGCCAATTTTGTTCGTGTCCAGTCATGAACCCTGTTATCACTTTCAACTGGTTCCTATTCATAAACAGTAATTATCCAGTTCTTTTGGGACATGGTCTGCCTATGAAGGCTTTTCCATATGCCTGTTTTAGGGTGCTTCCCCAATAGTTAATATGTTGTTCCCGAATCCAGTCGTTTATAAAACCCCGGACTGTACTTTTTGGTACTCCTGGGTTTGTGTCTGGTTCCGGTATTTCTTCTGACCCTCTTTTTGCAAGTTCGTCGGCCTTTTCGTTTCCTTCGATCCCTTGGTGACCTGGCACCCAAAATAGTTTTACTCTATTTCGGTCTGCCAGTGTTCTTAGTTCTTCGATGCATTTCCATACCACCGTCGACGTAACTTTCTGATTCGATATGGCCTTAAGTGCCGCCTGGCTGTCTGACATTATTTGAATATGCTGATTTTCGATAGCTCTTTCATTGCAAAATTGCATATACCTCGGCCTGAAATACTGAGAAATGTATTCCTATAGCATAGCTATGGTTAGTATCAGGGTTTTTGGAGAATAATCCCGCCGTCTTAGACCCGTCTGTATACCAGGTTTGATCCCGTCGTTGGGCATTGGGCTCCCTTATAGTGATCTCAGCTCTTTCCTGTATTAAAACCTCAAATGGAGTATTGGTTATGTGGTCTGATCTCATGCCTAGCACGTCTTCTGCAACTAACCTTGAGATACTCATGTGACCTGGCCTAGTGTCAAGATTTCCCAATATATTCCCTAATCTGTAAGCACCTAATCTTGCCTCCCCTTGTATCACATAGTGAAGAGGTGAGAGTCCTATTAGTGCTTCCATTGCAGCGGTGGGGGTTGTTTTCATTGCTCCCGTTATTCCGAGGCAGGCAAGTCTTTGTACCTTACTTAGCCTCGTTATTGCTTGCCATTTCTTTTCCTTCAGAAGCTTCTTCTCCGCTCCTGAAGGTTTTTTCGGTCTTTCAGCAGGCTTAACCTCTGCTTTTCTTCCCGTTTCTTTTGTTTGGGAATAATCGTCTGTTTTCACAAATCCTCCTCCCGTTAAGAGGTTAGTAGCTAGTTGTAATAACCAGGTCGATTGAAATAATTAGTAAAAGGATGCTTTTAGAAACTGAACGATTAACTTTATTTTCCTTTTAACAGACTCAAAAACACTTCATACTTCATTTTTTATTAAGCGCGGCTTTGAGTGCCACCTGACATTGACATCTCAAAAATGCCAACCTTCATCTTGACTTAAGGAATAGTCCATTTCTCGCGATATCACACTAGTATCTATTATGATGAAATGACAATGTTAAAATCAAATTGAATTTACGGATTTTTTTAAATATTTAATTGTGGATGCACTAACGAACTAGTATGACATAAAAGTTTGTATGCACTGAAGTTATTAATAGATGTCTATGTCTTCGTGCGACTTACAGCCTCGGGGAAAGGGCGGAGTAGATAAAAAACCAACTGAATTGTTTTTAAAAATTTGGATTTGCAAAGAATTGCCAGGGCTAACCCCGCTTTGGTACCAGCGCTACCCTCGGGTTGTAAGATAATCGCCCTCAAGTCATATACATCTACTTAATACATATGTTTTGTACCGATAAAAATGTATTAGGTATGTAAAACAGTTTGGCAATTATTTGTTTTTATATTTACACAATGGTTATAAACCTGTTTTGTATCTGCTTTTTTGCATTAATTTTTCTTACTTAAGTAGCGTTTAGTAGAATAGTATCCGTCCGTTGTATGTGTTATATTTTTTACAGTTTTTGTAAAGATAGTCAATTAATTATATTATTATTCAATAAAGGAACAGTTTTTTCAATTTGTAATGTTATTTATAGATTTCTAAATATGCCGAACATAAAGTTTTATTGGGTATGTTGTGAACACCTTTTTTTTAACTTTTTTGCTCCTCAAGTCTTTTTTGCTCCAAGTCTTTTTTGGTCACGTGTCAGTCAAATTACTTTTTAATTAATAATTTTATAACATATATATTAATTTTGGTCGATCGTGCGCCCCTGTAATTGTTAATAAAAATATTTGCTAGATTAAAAAATTAATTAAATGACTCCTACCTGGTATACTGTGTTTATCAGCTATGTTTAAAATGGCACTGATGGTTTCTAAGCTCAAATTTGCGTCTATTACAATTATTGGTGAGTTTTTGAGATATTTTTCATGATCCATTATCTAAAAAATAAAATATTTGATGGAATTTTACACAAAAATACTTCAAATTAATTTTTAATAAGAGTAATCGCATAATTTACAAGTTATCTTCAAACTCACGTGTAGGTTACATCGACCAATGATAATAGTCATCTTTTATTTCAACACAAGCCAATCAACACAAACTGTATTTGAAAACCCTTCATGCTGCAATGTTTTCACTCAATCCCCATTGGATTTAAAAAATTCAATTCATAGTAACGAAGCGTTAGTGTAGTTTGTCAAAAAAGTAACGAAAAATGGACAAAAATCGTTTTGGTTTTTGCAATATACATTTTAGTATAGAATCGACTTCAACTTACGAAATGTTTATAAAAGTTCTTTTTATATTCTTAAATAATCTTTCCAAATACCACTCGAGATCAGATTTTTTTTGAAAACATTTTGAATTCTTACAAACCATTCAAATTACACTTAACAAAATACCACTCGGCTGTCTCGTGGTATTTTAAGGAGGAAACTTCAATATTCAACCCTAACTCTCCTTCCTATTCCGTTCATCTCTACGATATAAAATCTCCAACTTTAATATCTATCTTAACTTCAATATTTTATAATTTTTTAAAATTTTCCAACTGTCAATCTTTACAAAAATAATTCCAATAATTTTCAAAATCCTACTACCACTAGTCACAACCCTAAGGCAATTTCGAATAACTTATCAATGCCAACGATACAGAACGGAAAAGACAAAGATAAGAATATACGGAATCATGGCAACATTATGTTTTTAAATATATGACTTTTCTATATATCTGCCCCTATTTATTACCTTTAACATTAAAATATGTAATACTTTCTTACCATTTTGGGTGTAATCTCTTTGTGAACTTCCATATCACCCATCAGCATCTTGCAACTTCCTTTTCTGTCGAAAACTATCACACATTGCGCCGTCCCTTTATTTTTGCTAACTTTTAAAAGGTTAGAACTTCTTTTCGGAATGGAGGATTTCACTGTGTTGCCATAGAAATCATCCCCTATGATAGTCAAAAAATTTGGGGGACAGCCTAGTTTGTCCATGGCTTCGCACATATTTCTACCCACGCCTCCTGGCGAGAAGGAAAACAGCGTGTTGTAGATTCTACCGTCGAGCTAGAAACAAAGAAAAATAATATTGTCACATTCAAAAATTAACACCCTGTACATATAAAACCTTCTTTAATTATGTTGCGAATATGTTTGCCTTATTTGGGTCTTTTTCGACCTTCACTTTTCTGATTACCAAGAATAGTCGATTGAATAGGTCTACCTTTCAAACTCCCCCTATAAATACGCCATCACCATTGACTTCTATAACAAACTTCCATCTAGAATTTACTAGAATAATGACGAAGCACCTAGAAACAACTCATCAGTCTAATAAATGGCGAAGGCATGGCTGTCGTAGTAAGTTTTGATAAATGTGCGAAAAATTCGAAAAGCGCAACATTTGTATATAAATAGTCACGTTTGATGTTATAGTGAGTTCAAGTGGAGATATCGCTGTGAGCAGCTTAATAAGTACTACATAAATTAGTACAGTATTTGAGTATAAATCAATTAAAATAATAAATAATAAACATTACAGTATTATCAAGCACCTATTTATTATTGTTTAATGGTAATTAAAAAAGAAAATATTCCAATCATTGGATCAAATAACTGGGAAGGGGTCGTATATATTTAATTGCAACAAATGATTTGTTAGAAAAAACTCCAATGTTATTAATATTATTAGATACTAAATATTTTAAGTATAAACTACTTTTTTTTTTTCAGTGATACATTTATTTTTTAGAGTGGATTAACGCTTTTTAATTCCGTTTGCCAAGCCGTTCCTGGGAGGTTTCCACCCCCTCCAGACTAACAAATACTCGAGCACGTTCGATAGGGATAGAGATCCCTGAATGTCGTTTGTTACATCACTTCAATATACTAGTAATCCTCTTTTTTAATCGGGAAAAATCAACGTTAGGCAATCATTCGTTTCAGACATGAAATGACCAAAATTCCATTATATCACAAAAAAATTCGTTTGCACAGTAGTAAAGGTGAGATTATTTTTTTACGGATTCCGTTTATTTTAAAATGTAAAAAAGTGTAATCTAAGGAATAATATACTATGTAAGATTCCGTAAAAATATGGCCAAGACCTTGTCCCATTAAATTTTAATGTTATTTCATAATGAATATATTTTTACGTATTAGAAAACTTCCCTAAAATATATAAAAAGAAACATCCCCTAATTGAACATACATATTGTCATGCGAACCATTTTCGGTACTGCTTGAACCCCCTAGGTCTCTTTCTGTCTTATTTGGGCCTCTTATGGCCTGTACTTTTCCGATTACCAAGAATAATATTCGATAGAATGTGTCAACCTTCGAAATCTCCCAAAGATATGCCTATGGAACCTGGCAGTCAAAATGGATGATCATTTTGGAATGCACTAGAGCACTAGAACCTTCAAAGAAATGATTCAAAATTACAATTTATGGCGTAATTTTTGGCTAGGATCTTCAATAACAAGTCTGAAGTGACACATTTTTATATAAATAGTACAACTTCATCGTTTTAGTCAGTTTTAAGTTTGATATTCGTTTGAGTTGATTAATATTGTAATTATAAATTAGTATATAAGTATAAATAAATTAGGTTAATAAATAAATTAGTGCCTTAGTGTAATTAAATAAAATAAATATACTGTTTTAAATAAATAAACGTTACAATATACAACTATACAAATTCAATAAATTGTCCACAAGAAAGTTGGAACTATATTAAATAATTTTATTTGAGATATTCATTTTAGTCCACTATCTTTGCAGATATTTGGTTCAACATAAAGCACAACAAAATTTTTCACTTGTCGCACGGGTGTCCCAACTAACTAACTATATAAATGGTCAATAAAAAAATAAACGGGGTTATTTAATAATCTTTCGAAATCACGGCACTCACGGAGTATTTTACTCGACATTGCAGAAGGGAGAATAGTTTTCGGCTGTCGGCAATCAAGAGCGTGTAATTCCCAGATGTGATTGAATTTATGCTTTTCGGTAAACCTGAGTGGGGGATACCACTACTACAGCCGACTGTTTACAATTTAAAAATAAAAAAATGTCCTTCTAGTACCTTAACAAATAAAGGTAGATAATTGGTACGAAATCGACTCTACAAAATGTCCATTCGGATTTCGACAAATCTATGAGGGTACTCGCAATTGTTGAAAAACGGTAATTCCTGGGAAACGGAAAAAGGGGGGATCTTCTACATGTCCTCAGGCGGGAATTAATTGAAATATACATTTTTAAATTAATTGAAAGCAAAATTTAGTGACTTCGTCACAGCATTCTTCTCTTCTATTAAGGTTGTGAATGTTTTTTATCCTGAACACTCAACATTAATGCGTTTGCTAGTGAATTATTAGATCGACATCTAGAAAAAATTATTATAGATATGTATATAAACGTGTTTTTACCGTGAATTTGGTGATAAGTTTTACCTGTAAGCATTTAGAATGTTTTCAGAATATGAGGTACATTATGGGTATATGACTTTTAATATCTTCTAAGAATGTCCTGTTATAGCACGTGCACAGTATAAATATACTTTTTAAAAAATACTCAATATATACTTTCTAGAATATACTTTCAAAGTATGTACTAGGTATGTTCTAAGAACACTCTAGAAAGCACATATCAAAAAAAACATAAACAGAACGTTGTTAATATATGACTTACAATGTGTTTTGTATTAAAAAAAACCTATAGTAATCAGAGCCTCATTTTAAAATTTAATTTTTTTCACGAAATTTGTAACGACTTTTTGTATTACAAGCGTAAATATAAATGTACGCCTTAGAACAAGCCTTGGACCATTTTTTGCATACAAAATTAAGTTGAACTTTATAAATGTCCCCAAAAAAAAACGTCAGTCCCTCGTCTGCGTAACAATAAAAGCATTCACATCCCGGAAAGCGAAAATATCGAGAAAGTTCTTAAAATCCTCTGCATTAATGTGGCTGTTAAAAGTGGTTTAGATGTTCAACGGCGAACTGAGTGCTGGGGTGTAATATACGAGTATAAAAAAATGATCTAAATAAAAAAAATAGATTTAATAAAGTATGTCAAACTATTGGTTAAAAATTATCGGCTAAGTAGGTGATTAGTGTGATAAAATATTTCACATTGACAGTTCCACCATCTAATAGAGGAAGGCTGTACTAAAAGTTATAGCGTTCTACAGTTAGAGATGCTTGGAACAGGTATTTACAGACGGAAAACTTTCCTAAGCAGTAAGGCTCTGGCAAAAGAAGAATGACCACTGTAACTGATGATAGCTTCGTCATTAATTAAAATTAACTTTCTTAAAAAAAATGCAGCTCTCAAAAGAAATGAGATAACAGGATGAGTCATTTGAGATTACTGCAAACAGTGTCTAAACAAAATTACCCCCCTCAATTTTGCCACAAGGTGTTTTGAAGTTTAAACAAAAAACAACATTTTGATTTACCCCTGTATAATATTGCCCAAACGAAAAATGTTAGTAATTACAATAATTTGAAAAAATCACAGTACATTTATCTACAAACAAGTGGAAAATTCGTAAAAATAGTATTAAACATAAAACATTTATAAAACATCAAACTTGAATAGGATAAATTTGGATAAAATCGACTTCAAAAGAAATGTGCGAATTTTTTATCCTGTTTGAAAAATCTAATCGGTTAGATACTCTTATCACCATATCCTACTGTAAATTGCAAATATTTTTATATTACATATTATAGAAGCATGTTGACAATATTTGTATTAGCTCACACACCTGTGATTGCATGTGTGTTACATGTCAGTGGCAATTTCGTTTCATCTGTACATAATAATATTGACATATCCAGTATCTGCGACAAGTTTAAAATATAGATTACGTGTACCTATACTCCTGATGATAATTTTTATCTGTTGTTTGACGTTTTTTTCCGGAAATAAGAATACATTGAATAATTAGGAAAATAAAGATTTGTATTTCGTGCAAAATTATTTATTTAAATTACAAAGCGCATTCGGCAATAACAACGACATCATCAGTGCTCATAGTCACATTAGATATTGTAATGCTAGCCATTTCGTTATTCAGCCCCTCTACGTTTTATTTGGCCTTTGAGGCTCAACTTGTCCGATTATCATACATAATTAAACCCCTTAAGATCAAACATATGTGACGAATACTATTCGAGAATGAACGGGACAATGTTACTAGTTTTGACGAGAACTTTCTAGAACCTTCACCAGAATTTTAAATGTGTATATAAATATTGGTGGAGGAATACGAACTTGTCAGTCGTATACAAATAGTTGTGAAGATAAATAATTAACAATTTAAAGACATTCGAAATATATATAAATTAGAATAGTATTGTTTTAAAATAAATAGTAAATATATTATTAACAAAAAGCGTCCCACCTTGCTAAATTTTCTTATTCTTATTAAAATTGTTATTGTGAAAATTTTAATTCTTGATTAGTATATTTGATTAGATTTAGTTTTCTATATTTTCCATATTTAGACTTAAATCTTCAATCTAAATCTACTCAAGGAGATCTACCTTTTGAATTACACTGTATTTTTTAAACATACTATAAGGTTAAAACTAAGAATATTTTATTAATTTGTTTAGGAGAGCAGATGTGTTAATATAAAAGGTTTCTAGTTATATCTAATTAGAACATAATACAAAAATGTAGACAAACATAATACGTTTCTCTTTGTCTACCATATAAAAGGGAAACTCTATAAAAAGTTTATCATTTTTTTATCACTTCGTACGTGATATCCATATTTTATGAGTATAGGCGCTTGACTACACAAGAAGAATAATAATTGGAAATAAAGTGATTTTTGTTTTTAATTTGATAATGTCCGAAGTGTTAGAAGAAAAAAAAAAGGAACGTCATGAGGTTCTAAAATAACAGTTATACTTAATTATCTAATACAAACATATTTTTTCTACATATTTCAAAAAAAGTTTCATATTTTTCCTTTATATACAGGGTGTTTCAAAAAGGTATGTCATACATTCTTTCTCAGATAGATTATCAAAAAATAAGTG